ATAACAGACATCCACAGACAGTGATGCTTAAAGATACCCTCTTTGGCCTCAGAAGTATTATGTACTACTGTGAATCTTACTCGTGCACATTTTGTGCATCAAATAATGTAAGAAGAGGTACCATTTTACTAGTCGATATTCACTGAAAAGGCCGTTTTTCTACCAACTACAGTGTGCAACGAACTTTGAATGCAGATTTGAAGGCAATGTTCAAATTGAGTCGTCCTTTTCATCGTAACAAACTCGTTTTTTCTGTTAGAAGTACCTAAAAATGCTATTTTCTGAAACTTCCTGGAATGTTTTCAAAAATCGCTATCCCAAGATCCAAAGAGCTCTTGATCAAAGTTTTTTCATTCTTTCTCCACCAATCCCCCATAAGTAAAAAAAAATGAAGTTCATGTAGCTGCCAGACCAATGGCACCATTTAATTTCAGGGTTTAAAATAATCATTTCAATAGTCTGGTTGTCGAGCAATGGTGGATCAAAGTATAGCATGTTCAAGCCCTGATTTGAGCATTTTTGCTCTGTATGTAACACAAAACTTGTTAGATACTGATCTCTTGAAGCATCTTATGTTGCTTTGAGTGTCAAAAACCATAGAAAATAAAACCATATGCATTTCATAAGGTAAATGTAGAGTAAATGAGCATAGGACATACAGTTTGGTAGTGTTGTGAAGATTAAAATAGAGACAACTCCACTTCATCCAGCCGCATAAAAAATCAAATCTTTGCTTAAAACTGCATAAATACGCAATTTGCTGGCTTAGTTGTAATGACAAACACTGTAGGCCTTTGCTTTCTGAGTCTATTGATATAGAAAACATGCCAAGTTTGCTGCTAAATTATGTGCATAAGCAAAAATGTCTAGAAGGTTTTTCACCTATATTCCATCGTTTTCATAGTGCACTTGACAAGCAAACATATGCACTTAAAACCAGAGATTCTAGCGCTCATTTTAAATACATAAACCTTGTAACAGCTCAAAAAATTGTCGAGTTCAACATTTCCATCAGTAGTACCCTTTAGTCAAAAGGCATGTTTGATCATTTTTTACAGATTGCCTTTTTTTCCCAAATCAACCCCAAAAGTGCCACGGATGTTATTGAACACTTTTCGAAGCTCTAGTTTGATTACTCGTTTTATCCATAGTAAAGATACTTTCGGCTTGAAAGGTACAACTTTATTTAGATAGTTTAATACAGCGACTCTAATGGACAAATGTCTGACAACAAATGATTTACAGCTAATTATGCAGCCATTGCCTTATTGACAAAATATCGTAAAACAGATAAACGAATCTTAGATATCAAACTGTCGATCACACTGAGCAGATTAGAGATTGACTGGCTGGCTCATCTAATTCAGGCCTTTGTACAGCAGTAATCAGTAAAATATTCAAATTATTTTTACTATTTGAGATTCTTTTATGAAATAAAGATATCTACAGAGCATGCTGAACCATGATACAAGCAATTATCTGTAGTCAAATAAATAAGAGATACACCTGATTGGTTGTTGAAAGAAGCAGAGTGTTTGTGGTAGCATGCTGTATAGAGGAGATTTGACGTGGGATGGAGTCAATAGAGGCCCATTTGGCGCTCCAATAAAATACAGGGCTGGTATCCTTAGTTGGTATTGTGTGGAATCAGTCTAACGTGTGGAACAAAGGGTAGAAGACAGTTATGAGTTGTTTGAGCGCAGTATGCAGATTAAGGCATCGGATAGAAAGTGAATGAGAAAAGTGTGTGTCACATAAGCAAGACTTAAGGCTCACTCCAGGTAGTCAAATAAGTCACCAGCAAATTATACGAATGCGCTCAAGATTTTTCATTGGAAGTCATAGAAGCCAATGTTGCTGACATTAACATATTTAGTAGAGCCCCATCTATAGCCTAGTGTAAGACTATGCTTGTCATATTGGTCGAGGAGAGATTGATATGACTCCTTGGTAAAAATCAACGCGATATTTTCTGCATAAAATAAGCCATTGACAGAAGCAATGAATTTGTTGACAAAAATATCATCCGTCATGGATGTAGCATGCAGCAGTTGAGGAAGATCGTTGATATGATGGTATTAAAAAGAATGAATTCCTCTAAAACCCCACTTAGTGATGTAAAATGACACAACCTAGTATTGGGCAAAAGATCTTTTATCAGGATATTGTTAAATAGATTCTTTAGCAAGGCTAAAAGATCAAGAGACATAGTGGTTTGGAATTGACACCGAATGAAATTACGATCTGCTGCGGTATAGCCGGATTTGATGTCTAGAAAAGCCATTACCGGGACTACTTTATGGTGACAGCGTAATGAAGTGCGAATCTCGGCAAGACAAAGGGCTTGTTCGAGGAAACTTTTGTATCCTCTAAAGCCACCTTGAGTAGTGTCTAAGGGTAACGCTTGATTTTGAAGGAAATCTATAATGGATTTTTTAAGTTTTTCCTATGAATTGAAAACATTTGTGTAATTCACCAGCAGTGAAATACATACAGCCAACGCCAGTAAAGACTAAGATGTGTTAGCAGATATATTCTAAAAACTATGATAACTCGAGTGACAGAAAGAAACCGGCCCAAAGCTTGTAAGTATAATGAATCCACAAAAAAAATAGTCAATATAGAAATAAAGAGTGTTAGATTTGGCTAGACGAGCCGAGTCATCTAGCTTCATAGCTATTAAAGTCTTGTATTGATGTCTTTTTTAGCCCCTAGTAGTTGTAGGTTAGCGTGAGTTGGTTTTAGTAGTCTTTGGGGTTCAAAACGAAGTTGTCAAAATAAAGACTTTCACGAGCAATACTCTATGAATTTGAGGCTAAAATGGCCATTTTCTGCGAATCGCTTTTTTTTTCCAAATCAACTTCAAAAGTACTATGTGCGTCATTAGACATTGCTTGTACAAGTTTGAAAAGCTCAAGTATGCGCCAACATACTTTAAGCTCTCTTTATGCGGTTATGCAATTATATACATTTGTCTGGTCGTTCGATAGATGTAGTGTCATCTTCAGTTAAATAATTACACCAAGGATATTTCCGCGTTATTTTAATGAAATAGATAAACTCAATCCAAGAGTTTCAATGCGCTTTGCATGATTCAGTGGAACCAATGACACTTTGCGGCTGAAAATAACTAGTTTATTATGTTCATCCATCATGGAGATTATCTTCTCTTGCTGAAATCCTGGCTAAACTATGTACTTTTTAGAATCCGAGCTCTTAAGTAATTTATTTGGTTTGAATCTATTGTATGAATAGAGCATTTTGACGATTTCTCATACAGTAGACGTAAGACTTTTGCATCATGACAAGAGCTTAATTCTTTCATTTCTCAGTCCGATATAAGTTTGATTGCTTATTCTATGCCTTACACTTCAGTAACTACCGTGCTACTCTCTTAGTCCTGGATTAACGGGCTTAGGGCTCTCAGTCTTGCGTCATCTTGTCCTTTGCAACAAAATAAATGATTCGTATCATCATTAGGACAGTATTACCGACAAGTGTATGATACTGCATGAGGAAGCAAAGGCTAACGAAGGGAGAAGGAATAGATTCTTTCATAGAAATCAACTTTTTAAAGAGACACAACAAAACGAAAGATGCTCCAATCGATAAAAATGCATAAGTTACAACAAGGACACCTTAGCCTCTCACGAAATTGCGTAGAAAAAGAAAAAAGAACCGCTCCTAGGTGGGCTCGAACCACCAACCTCCTGATTAACAGTCAGACGCGCTAGCCAATTGCGCCATAGAAGCTGATGTTTTGAGAGAATTTAAAATTACTACTCATGTTTCAGTTTAGTTGCTATGTAATGTTTCTACCTTTGAGCCATATTTTTCTTTTCTATCTTGAACCTGTTTTTTTTTGTCGATACCTCTCTTTATGCAAACTAGCTTACAAAAGCGAATGAACAAAGTTGAATTTTAGCATAAAACTACTCCACAAACTGAGTTGAATAAATTCAATCTATTTTTTCTTCTGTCTTTTATACATTTATATGTCGACAAATGATGACTTTGTTAATCCATACTAGCCTGATCCATTTTTTTTTACAAGACAGAACCATAAAAAAAAGGGTCCAGATCAGGTTCCTTTATGCCAAAAAAAAAACAACTGGTAGATGACCTCGAAGGTCATCATCAATAATTTTCATATAACAATCAGATAAATCATTGACCAGAAATAGTAATTTCTTTATGACTGTCAAAAAAATAGAGGTTCACCCTTATCAGTACGATATATATATATATTTCATGCTTTCTTGATAAAACAAGTGGATGATAAATGAATAAACTTGATTTGAAACAAACTGTCTTTGACATTTAAAAAGAGAGGATAACTTATTTATACAAGTGTAACATATCTGGAATCCAGAATACATGCATGCAAAGAAACAGCAGAATTGAACAAACACAAGGTGATTAAAGTTTATTTTTTTTTCAACCTTAAAAGGTACTCGTTGTCTGTCATGAATGGTGTTGTGAGATGAAGAGAGAATAGATATAAAATAAGAGAAAAGGTAAGAACACAGAGAAAGTCCGTTAGAACTTGTATAGGCTTTTATTTCTGTCGTGAACATATAGAATCTAAATAAGTCTTCATTTACATACTAAAATATATCATAATCAATTTACATGTTGTATACACAGCATTATTCATCCCTTCTTACACTAGTTATGCCTTAAAAGAGCAAGTATTAATATCATGTATAAATATATCTTTCAATCACAGTTTTATCCGCAGCTTCGATGGATGTCTTCTATCTTAGTTTAAACATGTTAATGATCAGACCATCACATAATCACAAATTGACATCTGCATCAATACCAATGGTAGACGAGGTCTGTGCCCTGATCATGTTCCCAGTTCTTGTGTACCTTAATCCATTCAACCGATTAGCTAGTGTATACACACTCAGTCCCAAATCAGGGATAATCAATTATCATACAAACAGTATAAATACAATACAAAATATAACCTTTAATAAAGCAGACTTCTTTTGGCCGTTTTGGTTCTAATCGACTTATTGATTTGACCATTTTATTAGTGATTATATCACACAAGTACCGCTTTAGCGTGTGAATTATGCGTTGCTGGTCCTGCCTGCTTTTTGTCAAGGTCTGTTGATGTCGCTTTGTGTCGAGTCTCCTTGGTACCTTGTATCCGTTCACAAGATTCAAGAAACCATGTATAGTTTGCAACACTTGCGTTCTGGTGCTGATGTTATGTTGGAACTGTACAGTATGATAGAAGGTCAATTGGGTCCTGCTGCAGCTACAACTTGGCTTCACATCAAGATGATGTTGAAAGCAAACAACCTGTTCAAATCAAGGATTATGATATGAGTAAAGATGACAACCTTCGAGTCTCGACGCTTCCATATCATGATGCTCCTATGAGCATGACAGATATACTACAAGACCCTTTAGTCTGAAAAATAGCCATGGTCGTCGTTATGATCCATGCCTCACAGCAATTGATTGGTATTCATGCCGTCATGTACTATTCAACAGACATGTTTACTGTTGTGTTTGACTCTACCATGGCCAAGTACATGTCAATTGTTACCTTTGTGATCAACTTTGTGGATGTTTTTCCTGATGTTTTCTTGATGGATCGTATGGGTCGTCGTATGTTGTTGTTAGTGTCTGCTACGGGGTCTACCGTATGTTGGTTTATGTTGTCCATCGTTTATGTGTATCACCATGGCCCATGGATGGTGGCTTCTCTGTTTAGTTATATGGTCTTGTTGGATGTAGTCCTATTCCCTGGATACTAATTTCAGAATTGACATCAGCGTAAGTCGATGGACGAGGGAGGGAATATCATTGACCACTTTTTTTTTTCTAGTCATACTTCTTCAGCTGTAGGATCCAAGGCTACAGGCATCAATTGGTCTATGAATTTCTTGGTAGGGCAGTGCTTTCCTCTTGTTTTCAAAAGAATGGAGGGTTATGCGTTTATTGTCTTTGGCGTGATAGGTGTGCTCATTGTTTTGTTTACTTTTTTTCATATGCCAGAAACTCGAAAGAGATTCCTTGAAGACATTGTGAATCAGTTCAAAGCTTCGCTTTAATTTTAATAAATTGATTGTTATTTTACATATCCAGCATGTTGATGAGTTCTTTTGTATATTTGGCAATTTCATAAGATTCTTGAGCCAAGTTTCGTTTGGCTGCAGCATTGGCATGTTCAGGTGCATGAGCAAAAGAAGAATCTCGAATACGAATGATCTTGCTGTTGCATCGATCAAGGTCACTGAGGATGATATTGCCCTGGTTTTTATAGCGTAAGCCATCACCGTTTGAAAAGGACATTTTGGCAACATGCACAATGTTGGACACGATATCAATAATCGAGGTAATGATGCTATACAGATGACCGTCACTTGTTCTTAACGCACTCAACAAGTTTTGCACTGAGGAAACTATACGGTCTGTTTCCGTCTTGAGGAATTGCTATTGAAGTATTAGGTGTTTGTTGTTGGCTACATGAAGCTAGTTTCTTACCGAGAGTTCAAGTGGATTCATGATACCAGCATGAGGAAGTGTTGTAGGACTCGGCCCATCATGCGCTTCAATGGGTCTCATGCCTAGTAGTTTGACAAGATCCACAATGGTATTGGTCAAATTACTAGCAGCAGCGTCCACTAGACTCACAGGACTGATACCCATGCCTCCAGCATAGTTCTTTGCGGCAGCCAACAAATTCGTCAATTCATTCGAGAACCGTTTCTTGATGTCATACAGTAATTCCTGATGTTCTGTGGATAGTCCTACCTTCAGTTCATATTCTTCTACTTCGGATGTAATCGATTTGCAAGCCATCACAATGGTTCTCATAGATACAAGTACATCTGTTGGCTTACTTGATCTACATCATCATCATTAGAGACAGCCTCTTTTTGTATCCTTGTTACCTTGATGTCTTCATCAATTCATCAATGGCTGTCTGGTAATCAATGATAAACTGATGACCAATGGCTCCTTTAGGATTTGGTTTCAGCAGAAATGCTTGTGAAAAATCAGCATGATCCATATTTACTGATCTCACTTTAAAACTTCTTAGTTCCATACTGATGGTTTCGTATTTCCTTTTCCATGATCGCATCTAAACAAAACAAAACATCAATTCATACTCCTTTGATATCTACTTCTTTACTTCGTCTGTTAGAGTCTTGATCTGTGCTTCTGATGTCTCATTCTGAGCTCTTAGGGCTTCATTTTTACTTGATAAGTGCTTCAGCTCTTCAATCAATTGTTTGATTTCATGCTTAACTTCACGAACAGCCTTTTACATTTAAAGAGGATGAATGTATCATACATTACACAAGACACTTACCACTTGTTGTTCTTGATGTTCTTGATTAAGTTGATTGTATTTACTATCCAATTGGCTGTATTCTTTTTGCATTTGTCTCAATTTGATCTACTCAGATAAGAACGCTTGCTCTCATAAAAAGACGTACTTACAGATGCACTTGAACTATCGGATGGATCCTACTCAGTGATGGTGAACATGTGTCATGCATTCCCCCCTTTCTTTTTTTTTTTTTTTTACTTACTGTCTCAAGAGATAATTCAAGCATCTTTATCCTTTTGGCCATGGATGCAATCTTGTTTTCATATTCATACCGTATACTCCCTACATCTCCATGTGTGTCTGTTATCGATGTCATGTCAGGTCGAGGTGTCTTGACCATATTACCCAAATCTGCCATCAAACTGTCTAACGATTGTAGATTTTCACCGAATGCCTGTTGTTGTTGTTGTTGTTGTTGTTGTTGTTGTTGTTGATCATCGTCATCATTAAAATTCACGGCTTCCACACTAATCATACCCTTCACAGGCACAATATGCATTGATTGACTAGGATGAGCTTGTGCATCAATCGATTTAGAAGGCATAGGAGGAACATGTACATCTTGTTCAGACACAAGGTATGGATATCGTCGTTTGAGTTCATGATAGACATCACTGGCTAGATCTTGAAATCGTGTGGTTGGTAATGTAGCTAATTTTTGTCTTGCTTGATTTCGTCTTGGATGAAAGTCATCGCGTAAAGGTAAAAAGGATTCTATGATCATTAAACATATAGTATAGGCTGGTACTTACTGCTGTCGAGTTGCCTTCGCATCATTTCATCATAGACATCTGTTGCCAGTTCATGAAACTGTAGATTGTTTAATCGAGATAGTTTTTGTCTTGCTGTTGTTCTTTGAGGAGGTACGCCTTCTGCTGCCTCTAAGAAGAATGAGTACTATGCCAGAAAGTGCGGATTTACCTCTTGACAACATGGACGCAAGATATTTTTCTAGTTCTGTAAAATACTGTTTTGCATAAGACTCTTGTATAGAAGCATTGGTCTGTCTACTCGATGAAGATCCAATAGAATAAGCAGTAGAAGTGGATTGTGTCTTTGATAATTTAGCCCATTCTTGAGAAGAGACAGACTGTGAAGGTGATGTCCTACTTTGAAATGACATGATTAAAGAAAGAATAATAATAATAATAAAAAAAAAAAAAAAATTATTTATAGTCTGGGCACACAAATCAATTTATTCTAACCAAGATAGCACGTGTCCAAAAAGACAATAAGAAACAACATCTTAAAGAAGTCTATCATGTTGACAACTTTTTAGAGTAATACAAACATTCAATATATTTTCTGTAATGGTGAAGCAATAGACATGGATGCACGTTTCTGGCTTTGTTTTGTCTTTGGTTTATCATAAATATGGCACTAGATACAAATCAGTAAGATGGTTTTAGTTTATTTGTTACCTTATGAGCATGACGAAACCAAAGGACACTGTTCTTTCGTTTTGAATTACAGATAGGCACAAATTGCTTGCATTGATGACAAAGACCTTCAATCACATCGTTTTCACCCGCATGTTTCTGCAAGGGTTGTTCAAATGGTTTACCAGACACAGAAGAAATGCCATGAAAGAATTGTTTATGGTACCAGAATGCACTGTTCTTTAATTGAAGCCATTTTCCAGGTTGACATGTATCACAGTAGCCTTCTTTTGATTGACCTGTATAGCGTACCCATTTAGGTGTATATTCATCTTGATCGAATCGTAATTTCTGACGACGAGGAATAGCATTAGGATCCTTTTTCGCTGCTTCCATATCTGCTTCTGTAATGATCGGATAATCTTCTTCGTCTTGTGTGCGTATTCTTTTTTGACTGGGTTCTGGTTGATGAGCATCTACCATACGATGCCAAGTAGAGATGTCTTGAGGTGTAGCCACACTCGCACGTCGACTGCTGATCATAGGAAATGAATCGAGTTCTGTTGAATAAGATCGTTTGCGACAAGGTGGTTGTGACCATGGCATAGGATTAAATTGGATAGGAGGAGGTGTGTTTGTAGGTGTTGTTCTTGCTGATATCGAACTTGATTTCTGCATGAATGGCATCTCTTCAGACATGAAAATATTAGGCATGGATGCACGGTGACCCATATAAGGATGGGATTCACCTTCCATCACTGTTGTTAAATGTGATCTTAATAAGGAAGGAGGAGGAGGAGGTGGTGGTGGTGGTGCAACCATCATTGTTGGATGGGTCATACGAAAATTGAAGTCAGCCATGCCTCCACTCACAGCAGCTACTGAATGACGCCTAGTGTTATTATTTTGTCGAGTAAGACCTGGGGTATAGTCTAATTCAGCGTTAAATCAATCTTTTTTTTTTTATAGATATACCTTGTCCCATCCATGGGTATGGTGTATCAAATATATCCATCACTAAAGCATCTGTGTCTATATGTTCAGCATCTTGTATGTCTACTACAGGATCATCTTGAGATAAAATAGCAAAAATATCTGGTTCTTGTCTTGTGTTATTATACATTTCAATAAGAAAGAGAAAAGAAAGAAAAAGAGAAAAAGAGAAAATTAAAAAAAAGTATGTGTGTTTCAGTCTGATTGACAAATCATGTGTGTGTGTATATATTATTTTCGGTGAAAACATTTTAATTGGTATATAAATTTAAGCCAGCAGCAAAATCCATGACAAGTATACGCTGATCTTGACTTGCACTATAAAAAAAAAAGAATTAATTATTTTTCTTTTTTTTTTATAACTTACCTTACTATTTTAGTAGCATTCAATTGAACATCAAATATCCAACTTGAATGTCCACTTTCGAATTTCAAGGCACAAGTACCTGTCTTGATGTCCCAGACACGTATGGTTTGATCATAACTTGCACTCACAATACGGTCTTGATCAATACTTAATGCTCTCACAAGATCAGTATGACCTTCACAACTCAAAAGACATTGACCAGACTATCAAGGTATTGAATGAGATCATGGCTTAGATCGTGTTGTTATTTACCTGTGCATCCCACACTTTGATTGTCTTGTCACTTGATCCACTCACAATGCGATGACCATCAAATGCAACACAGGCTAATCCCCTTGTATGGCCAGCATATTTATGAAGACATTCGCCTGTTTCTATATCCCACATCTTGATCAACCCATCACCAGAAGCAGACACCAATCGATGATTCACTAGCTGGATCGCATTCACAGGTCCACGATGCGCCATGATTTTCCTGATCAATTGTCCTGTCATTCTGTCCCAGATACAGATCGTATGGTCTTTAGAACAACTCACAATATAATGTTGATCAAAGCAGACATCCAGCACACTTTCTGTATGGGCATTGAGTTGCATGATGGGCTGTAATGTACGCATATCCCATACTATCACACTCGTATCACTTGAACCAGACACCAATATGGCTTGATCGTATTTCAAACAGAGAACACTGCCTTGATGACCATAGAGTGTATGGATCGATTGATAGTGTTCTAAATCCCAGATCTGTATGGTTCTGTCTCGACTGCCAGTCACAAGTAAGGTCTGATCAAACTGAAGGCAATAGACACTATCTTGATGACCCATCAGGTGATGAGTGGCAGCATGGCCTAATTCCCAGCGTCTGTTGAGAATAGTATGGTGTTTATAGAGTTCATACCAATCCATGGTAACTGTCTTGGGCTCAAAACAAGCAATGGCCTCTCTTCTCCAAATATCGTTTGATCTGACCAGATGAAACCATATAGATGATGTTTGTGATAGACGACATAAACTTGTCACATCTAAATAGGATATAATTTGACTTGTAATCTCATAGGGTAAAGTATTGATGGTATCTAGTGTCATATTAGTTTAAAGAGGTTACAAAGGTATAAACATGTACCTTTTTGTACAGTGTAGAATAACATGAAAGAATAAACAAAAAAAAAAAAAAGAAAATAAAAACAATATTGCCTCTTGTTGCTATTTAAAGGGAAACAATAGCATACATATATATTACTTTTTCTGTGCCTCATTCATCAAAAAGGGTAAAAAAAAATAAAAAATAAAAAAGATGTTTTCTAAAATCCTATATATAGTAATTATTTATTCATCCATTTCCATATCAGCCAATCCATGAGATTCTTCAGATGCTTTACTCATTTCATAATATTGATTTGGGTGTTCAATCGTCTCTACTTGCTTTGTATTTGGGTGTGTCACTTCAAAATGACGCGTACAAGCTACTTGGTAATGTCGTTGACGAACCAGTTCCATGATTTCATCTATCTGAGGTTGACTTATTTTATCTCGTCTGAGTCTATTCTCGAGATTGACAGCTGAGAAATGTCGGAAAGGACAGCCGTGATTATCTCCCGTAGAAGGAGGATTGCCCGAGATAATTTTCATGCAACTAATATATATATATATATATATATATATATATAAATAAGTACCATAACCAAGTGTTGTCTACAATTACCTGTGAGGTGTGTAGTTGGTACGTTTGCCTTCAAGACCATAGTTGAAACGGATATTATAGGCATGTTCCTTATTGAACTTATCGTCCGTCATACTCGAGAATGCAGTTCGCCAAAACAAAAGTGCTTCTTCTACAGATAGGCCAATCCCTTTCAAGAACAGACCATATTGTAAACGACCTCCGTGTCTGAGATGTTTATCAGCACGTAATGCATCATGTAAATTACGCATACAGAGAGGAGCATGGTGATGAACTGCCTATATACTATAGGTAAGTGGTCTATGATCGTCCTATTCTACTTACAGCATCCACTTCTTTAGCAGAGAGAGATCCTAACTGACTATGGTCTACACTATACAGTTTGCCCACATATTGTTTCTCGACATTTAATAAGATAGGCTTCAGTCGATCATCTTCTTCCAGCCTTGGTAATAATTTAGCAGTGGCTTCAAGTGCCTTCTGAAGATAGTTTTTGAATTCCAGCATGACCAGGTTGATTTGTTCGGTCATGGGAACATAGGCTTTTCCTTTGTTCAGGTACACAGATCGATTACCTACCATATGAGGCACTTTTTCAAAATCCACTTCAAAAAAGGTTTCCAGACTCACATAGTCAGATACAGACATGCCTTGTTTGGGTCTGGAACACGTCTCTAAGGCTTCTCGCATACTTTCTTTTTCTTCCAACGACAACTATGATTTTCGTTATCATGCCTGTCATGTCTTGTTCTATACTCACAATCTTCCAACTCAGGTTCAAGTATTCTAAAAAGTGTTTCTTTTCTTCCATTGTTTCTTGTTCAAATCGAAATTGAAATAAGGCTGTTTCTTGTTTGATAAACCATTCACGTAAATCCTCACTAAGCCATGTTAGCTTTTATTATTATTATTATTATTTTTTACCTTTTACAATAAGCCATGCGAAGGACAAAATGACTGATATGGTCTTTGCGTCTTTCTTCATACAACTCATCTGATTTTGATTGATTGGACCGAAGTGGCAAGTGTTGTTCTATTGTCTTTGTAATCTCTGTCTTGAGATCTTTGTTTCGTAATGAAGCAGCTTCAATAGCTCGGAGTACTTGAAGACGATCCAATGCAAACCCTTCAAATTCTTCAATCGTGATTTCAGCAGGTGGAGGTTTTAGATAGAAATTAAGACGAAAAGGGTATTCATCCAAACTAGCATGTTGACCATCTATAAAAACAGTACGTCCAGCATGCGTTGATTGAGCAGCAGCAGCAGCAGCAAAACGATTAATTCTATTTCTACTTTTAAACATGATGAAAAAAAAAAAGAGACGCGACTTGACGCGTGTTTATTAAAAAAAAATTATTATTTTTTTGCTTTTAATTCTTGTCGCAAGGATTCAAATTCACCTTCTCTTTCTGCCATCGACATCTTTAAACTAATCAATTGTGATTCTGTATCTGCCAATTGATCAGCTAAACCGATATTGTTGGCTGCTAAACGTTCGTTTTCTGTCTTGAGATCAGCCAATGCTTTCTCGAAATTCGCCTTCATACGCGCCATGTCATGCTTGAGCTGATCTTTTTCATCTTCTGTACGGGCATGATCCATCTTGGTTGTAATGATACGCTGTGTCAGTTCTTGATTCTCTGTTCTGATCAGCTGTAATTGAGCTTCAACCGACCGAAGGTGTTCAGACAACTGTCCATTCATACGGCGCAAGTTATCTTCTTGTGAGACCGATTTGGACTCACGCGCTTCTTCACCTGTGAACTGTTGTGCTAAACGCGCCATGAACCGAACAGGTAGATCAACACGATACGTATCTTGTACAAACCGATCACCGTCATCGCCAAAGACAGAAAAGACACCATTGCACAAGAAATCGATCAGTGTCTCGAAATGAAGCTTGAGGATCTTTTCTTGGTTACGGACAAGCAAGGCCAGTCCGATCTGAATCAAGACTTGGGTGCCTTCCACCAACAACAAGTCGATCACTCGAAACACCATCTCGATAGGACAACGGTAAGCAAATAGCGTAATGAACCATTGGGAGGCATACATGGACGGCGTGACACCTTCGTTCTCCATATGTCGATGGATCACAGGTAGTTTTTGTTGACATACATGGTCAAATTGGTACAGCTGCTGATGAAGGACTTCCATGCGTGGCGTAAAGTGACCACGTAAGCCGTATTTGCCCATCAACTTGATCAACACACAAAAAGCGTTTTCTTCAGACATCTAGATAGATCCCAGTTATTATGATGCTTCATGTTTGACAATACGTACATGAAGTAATAGACACCCAATGATAAAAGCAAGTCCTTGGCAATAGCCTACTTCTTGATCGAAAATACTATAGGCTTTCGCTACATTAAACAAAGCTTGTCTGCCTGATTCCTGCATAAAATAAGGGTGATTAGGAAACGTTCTTGTCAGATCTCTTTGGATCTGTTTCTCAAATGGACTGGTGGATCGTTTCAGGATCTCTTTGTATTCTGATTCCATATCAAAACTGTCTCGAGATTTAGCAATGATTTGCCATAATAGACCACGGATAGGCGAAGGCATACCTCCCTTGGCGAGATGTTGACGCATATCATCCATTTGGGTCTCAATCAGTTTACCAAAATCATCAATCACCATGGACCAAAAGTCTACTAGACAGGTTAGTCATACAACACGTCATGCCTTATGACTTTACTTGCCCCAATCAATGCTGTTGTTCTGAATGCCACCTTTTTCTTTATAAATCTTGAGTTCTTCCATGGCTTCTTCTTTTAGCATCAAGTGCTTTTCAGAGTCGTATTGGTGATCATGATGCGAGAATCGTCTAAACTTGGACACCAGTTTATCAAAATGACGATGATTTGAGGCTGGTGAGCGTGGTATGCCTATTAATGAAGGCAAACTTTCAGAATATCGTTTACTCTGTCTTTGTTGGTATGTCTCTGAAGGCTTAACGACAGACTGAACAGAGACGATCGAAGCAGGCCGTGGAGGTACCTTGAAAGGATTGTTGAAGGAAGACAAGATACTGTATCGACTGTTCTGGCTTGTACTACTTCGATGGGTTTCTTTGGAAGTACGAATGTCTTCGGATGTCTGTGTGGCTGAACGTTGTCGAGGAGGTGGGTTCTTGAGGATAGGAACACTGGTGTTCAGTGGACGATGTGCCTGGTATTTCTCGTCTGAAAGATTAGGTGTGGTAATATGTGTTTCTATTGAGTCATCGTCGCTGGTTGTGCTGGGTAGTTTTTTCTTGACTTGGTCAAAATCAGATTCATCGTCACTGGAAGCTTCGTCATCTGTTCTGACATGGATCCGAAAACCAAAGTGGTCCATGTATTCATTACTGTTGGGATTCAAAAGGGCATCATCGACCACATCTAAATCATATTCAGCCATTTCTAAACTCTCATCGTTTTCATCATAATCTGAACCAGAATCACTTTCGTACTTGTGTTGAACAGGTGCATCGTATAATGTTGTCATTAGAATAAAGAAAAAAGAAAAAAGAAAACGAAACAAAAAAAAAGGGAGGGGGACAGAAGACTATTTTATCTTGTGCAACTATCCAATTAATTATTTTATTCTTATGCAAAACTGTTTAAATAAAGCCAATCTAGAGAGTGTCAATAAAACAGAGAATCAGGATAGACTCTATACATACCTTATTAGCAACATCCAAAGCATCAACATCAGCAGTCAAACGAACAAAGGCCTTTTTATAGCCATCAGGTCTGATGAGTGTGTTGACTTGAGCAGCTTCGACATCATAAAGACGCTTGACAGCATCCTTGATTTGGTTCTTGTTTGCCTTGACATCCACAAGAAAAGTTAATGTGTTGTGTTCTTCAATCTTCTTCATGGCAGTTTCGGTGTTGAGGGGTTGACGAATTACACGGTATTGATCCATGCGAGGGGCATGGGCAACAGACTTGCGAGCATACTTGGGAGTACGCTTCAAGACCAATGTCTTGGGAATGTGGAAATGGGTAGACGTACGAATCTTACGGACACTGTTACCATGGACACCTTTGAGGGCGGCCTTCTTGGCAGCTTGAGCCTTGGCTATTATGATCAGATTAGTCATCCATCTTTGTATGACTATGGTGACGAACCTGTGTTTGCAGGCATGTTAAAGATGGATCTTTAGTCAATTGTCATCATCCTTGATGGAAGTGAGGGGGGCCTGTGTGCGTGTGTGTGTGTGTGTGTGTGCCACATGCGTACATAGATCCAAGCTCTCTGTTTGTCCATCGATCTTGCCCGCTTCATAATACTGTTCGGACCGGACTTACTTAGGAACAACGCATTTGATTCCACCAACATGATGTATCAAACTGCATATCATCGTCTTCGTTAATGAGAGTATCTATAGCCATTGCCTCTTGAGATATTTTTACGAATCTGAGCTTGATAAAAATAAATAAATAAAGGGGATTTGTTTGACACCATCAAGGAATCGTGTCATCAAACTCAGTCTAAAATGCCAAACAACACTTGTGCCTGAAAACTCTAAATCGCATTTAAACTCAGTTTTTTATTGTTGACAGAGATGCGTCTGTGTATACTGATGACGTGGTTTAAAAACAGGGCAAATGGGTTTCACAAAGTCAAAAAGAATAGACTCTTTAGTCAGGGAAAATGCTTATATAAACTATTCATAATAAATGCTATATATAGACATCTCCTGACATTGTATACATACATATACAAAGGAAAGCATGTTTTTCGTCTATTCATTTTCATTGTTCAAAAGTCCGTTTTGAGAAGCATAAAAGGGTCTACGTCATTGATTTTTTTTAACTCTTTTTTTCGTTTTCTTTATCTGTGATCATACATGTGCACTTGTGTGTATGTGTGTAAACAGGTCTACCTTGCCCTTTTTTAAAGAATACATACACTCACTTAAACTCATCGATCCTTGATCTTTTTATAAATAAAATGGAAGATTATCGAAGTAAACTCAGATCCTTCAAGACAAATACCTTACATCAAGAAACAGAAGAAAAGAAGATCAAAGAAGAAGAACCCGACATTTACCAAGATGATGTGTTATATCAAGATGACCCAGATAACCTCAAGATATCCAATCCAGACATCGAACCCTATTTCCCTCCTTCACCTTATGGAAAGAGACGCGATCAACCAGCCGGTGATCGATTTATACCCTCACGAGAAAGAGACTTTGTTCGCGATTTTCAGATGCTTGATTCCTCCTCAAAACGATCCAGCGATCATCTCAACACAAGTGTACCTGAATCACCCACGCATCAGCATGAATCCACAAGACGATTCGGTGCTTTCTTTCGTGCAGAAATCTTGGACGATTTATCTGCTGTGGAAGAATTTGTCTCGTCCGAATCGCCTCGTACGCCTAGAAGAGTATTGCATTATGCTGGTCATTCTACAGACAATACATCATTGGAACACACTGAACCCAATGCTTCTCGCTTTCAAACATCACCTATCAGTGAAGCAGGTCGACGTATCTTGTCTTCTTCAGATCGTTCCATACGTCATATCAATCCGAATGCCATCAAGATTCTAGACGCGCCTCAACTCCAAGAGGATTTCTATCTCAACTTGGTCGATTGGGGTAAGCATGATTATTTAGCAGTAGGATTAGGTACCGCTGTTTATTTATGGAATGCAAGTACAAGCAAAGTCACCAAATTATGCGACTTGAATACAGATGCAGTCACTTCAGTCAATTGGTCTCGCGTAGGCTCATTATTGGCAGTAGGTACACATAGTGGACGCACGATTCTGTATGACACTGAAACATCCAGACCAATTCGAAGTTGGTTTAACCATTCAGCCCGTGTAGGCAAGTTAAATCTTGATTTACCTCTACTTTCAAAACTTATGCTCTCTATTTAGGTGCCATTACATGGAAATCCAATATCTTGACAACAGGCAGCCGCGACCAATCGATTTACCACCATGATGTACGTTCCTCCAATGCTTATTTCTGCAAATTATCTGGACATACACAGGAAATATGTGGGCTGAAATGGAACAAAGAAGGCACCATGCTTGCTTCTGGAGCCAACGACAACACACTCCTTGTTTGGAATCTACATGAGAACAACATACTCTATCGACTGACTGACCATATAGCTGCTGTAAAAGCCATCAGTTGGAGTCCACATAAACGTGGTGTGTTAGCCAGTGGGGGAGGAACAGCAGACAAGACAATCAAGTTCTGGAATACGTTTAATGGGACACTTACTTCCTCGCATGATACAGGATCACAGGTCTGTAATCTTGCTTGGGGTAAATTGACGAATGAGATTGTGTCTACTCATGGTTATTCTGTGCAAGCTGTGAGTACATCTAATTCAGTCACTGTTTGGAAAGCAGACAAGATGCAGAGAATGGCTACTCTGACAGGACATAATAGCCGTGTATTGTATTTAGCTATGAGTGAAGATGGCAATACAGTTGTTACAGGTGCAGGAGATGAGACACTCAGGTTCTGGGATGTCTTTTCAACTGTCAAAAGTACAAAAATCATGGATCCTGAAGATAGAAAGGCATGTCTTCGGTAACATTCTGTTTATATTTGTTCATATATATATATGTATATGCTTTCTTAATAAATAATACTTTGTATACTTATTGTGATTCTATTACCATGTTTGGTAATGACTTTTCCTTCTTTCGTCTTTTCTTTACTTTTTTTTTTTTTTTATGTCGACTAATGAATATGATCCTTATGCAGGTCAATATCCACCTCCGCCACCCTTACCTGCAGAAGATTTAGCTGTGCATGAACAACTTTATCGCCGACAATCAGAGCCATTTTATCTGATAGATCAATCACATCCTAGAGATGATGATTATCATCCTTCTAGTGGTCATACAGTCACTGCCTCTCGTCATTCTATGCCTGAAATAAGAGGCCATTACTATGAAGAACAAGAACAAGAAGATCCAGATGCTATGGATTTAAGAGACTATCTTTATGCTGAACGACAAGAGAAATTACGAAATCAACAGACTGTATCAAGACCTGAAGTCTATTCAGATAACGTGTATTATGAAACTATATCTCCTACCATGGTATCCCCGCCTATTCTGTTTGAACCATCGTTTGTGTCTCCACCTCTATTTCAACAAGGTAGTCATCCTTCCATGGTACCTCCTGTTCTATTACCACCACCACCACCACCACCACCACCAATGATGATGATGGCTAATACAGAGAAATACAGTCAAAGACACACTTGTTGTTGTTGTGGTGGTGGTGGTAGTGGTGTTTCTTGTTTTGCATGTATTTGGACACTGTTCTTGATTGTCATTTTTTTAGCTGGTATAGCACTGATTGTTCTCTCTATTATGATGGGCCATCAATGCAATAGTGAATTTGCAGCACAACATGTTATTTTATGCAGACAAGAATTTCATGATGGTACTTTATATGGTGGTATTGTGATAGCAGGACTAACAGCGTTAATTATCGTGTGGCGATTATTGAAATGGCTATGTAGAAATCCTCTTTGAATAGTCATCAATTGTTTATTGTACAAAAAGAAGTGATATATAAATAAAATGCATAAGTTGTCTAATGGTTCAAGAGAAATAAAGGGAGGAGGGGAATACACTAATCCTTGTTCTTTTCCTCTTTCTTGCTTGCTTTCTTGGATTCTTTTTTGGCTTTCTTTTCAGCTTTCTTTACTTCTTTTTCTGCCTTTTTGGCTTCTTTTTCTACTTTTTTGGCTTCTTTTTCTGCTTTTTTGGCTTCTTTCTTGGCTTTCTTGGCTTTTTTGGCTACTTTCTTTTCATCATCATCTTCATTATCATGCTTTCTCTTTTTACTCTTTTTCTTCTTTTCATCCACTTGTTCATCAGGATCCACAGGTCTTACGAAATCTTTCATTACACGCTTGAATTTACCTGTCTGATCCACTAATCCACGACCACCCTTTCGAGCAGTACGACCTTCACAAGCAGCAAACAAGTCTGCATCAGACACTTTGATAGAATAATCTTTTAATTCATCATCCTCTTCCTTGTCAGATAAAGTAGGGGTGGCTACAGCAGAGGTGCTTGCACTCTTGACAAAAGAGCCATATAAGGAAGCACTGGCTACACGCTGAGCAATATTGATATGAATATCTTTAACGGAGTCCATCATGTTGCGTTGATCTGCCATAGACGATAATGTACCATCCGATTCTGGTTGCACTGATTTGCCTGTAGGTCGCTCTGTTGAAATAATGCCTGTCTTTGAACGACGTGTGTCTCCCTTGGTCTTGGTGGCTACTTTGATTTCACCTTCTTCTTTAGCAACAACAACTGAACTGGCACTTTTGTTGTACAGGTGATCCCACCATGCAAATTCCCATTGACTACCGTTGACACCGACACCTTTCTTATCGTTCTTGACAGAGACGCTGATATGTTTGACGTTGCCTTCTCTGTTTTTACCAAGACCTTCACCACTATGGATCACATAAGTATCTTGACACACTTTTTGTTCATTACCTTTCCCAACCAAACTTTTCAAGTTGAGTTTGTGCAAAGGAACCTCTCCACTTATCCATACTATACAGAATAAAAAAGAAAAAGAAAAAAAAGGTGGCAACATGAATCCTTCATCTTGGTCAGGGTGTGGCTTGTGTTTGTGACCATCTTGCTTCTTATGGCAAATGATATAAAGGTTTCATTTTCATATGATTCTTTTTCTTTGCTGCATCGAACAGATTTGTTAGTTACGCGTCTCGTAACAGACGTTGTAAGGATACCAGAACCGACCCTGATCTTACATAAGAATACTATGCTTCGCCTGAGGCTATAGGAGTGTGCGTATCCCGGCGGCATCTGGCCGTTTGCTTTAGCTTGTATTCCCTGTCCTTGGGCATAGACAACTACTCCTCCATCATATAGGCCTTTTTTCAACAAACTGAGTCGTGATGACCGATAGCGCTAAATGCAACGGAATTGTCCACTTGCTTTTTTTTTTTTATTTTACAAAACATTACTTTTATTCACGGTTTGGTGAGAGATGCAATTTTTTTTTTTACCAAACCCTTTTGAATGGTGTGTGTAGCTAATTTTGAATATGTCAGGACAAACAACATCTGAAAGACAAATTGTTTGGCTTTGGTTGTCACTTAATGACTCAAGTAAGTGTGTCTTGTGTTCTTGCTCAATCAAGGCAATGGTGTCCAAATATTCCTAAATAATTTAATCAATGTTTGTTTGCTTGGTTTAAGAACTTACTTTCAACTTCAAGAAAAATACAAAAAAATTCAAATTGCACTAACAAAAAAAAAAATAAAGATTGCATACCTCTTTAGAACAAATTGCACTTAGCCCAAACAACAAGAAAACCATGAAATTCAATTGTTGAAATAATTTTAACAGAATGGACCGAGATACCCGAATGCAAAAACATAATTGCTTTATTTCAAGTCAGCGATTCCCAAGAAAAAAAAAAAAAAGGAGTAATGATGCATAAGAAACCTAAAAAAAAACGAACATTAAAAGTTGTCTGATATTGTTGAACGTTAGAAATCTTTAAAACGATATTCTAAGCTGTAGAAAAAAGAGTTCAGATTTATACCAAACGTGAATCGAAAGATTATGTTGCCCAAAAGAAAACGCAGAGCCTGGTCATCGTGCCTTGGTCTATCCTAGCCTCAGACGTGATTCGTAACTGAAAGCAACGATATAGTCAATAAAGGCGAAATTGAATTTAGAGAAAAAAAAATGATAGCTTTGATGGTCAAGCATTTATCGGTTGAATCACATGACATAAACTTACCATTGTAAGCATATACATGTTGTGAAACCAAAGAGATACTTGTCTAAAGTTTTCTCATATTTAGTGCTGTTCCCTCGGGAACTCAGCCCCTTTTCTTCTTTCGTTCGCGTTACACATACGAACCCCGCATTTTTTATTTATTTAAGATAAGCATCTGTCAATGGAACAGGCATAAATGTGTCTTGAGATGTATCAACTGGCATAGCTGTATTATTCTTTTGATGTGTGAAATAACTGTTCCATTCATCAATATCAAACGACATAGGCACACCCCAAAATGCGGTTGCATTAGGCTCATAAGTAGGTGGTACATAATTCTGGCTTGTCTGTGGGAGTTCAGGTGACAGATCCACACTTGTGTTTGTACTCGCATAATATTTTTCTTCCATTTGTCTGGTTTCGTTTGTTGAGTTGAACTCAGGCTCAGGTGAATTCGGTACAGCAATGGAGGCTGGAGGAGGGGGATTCAGTGGTTGGTGTCGGTTGCTGCCAGAACGTGTATAACTCTGATCGACGCAGTCAAGATCAATATCTCTTAGTCCCGCCAAGGCACCCAGAATATTACAGAGCCGTGCTGATGTACGCCATGTGGTCTCTACTTCATCCATACACCGCATGATTTTGTTGATACTAATCTTGGCTTCAAATGCAAACATGGAGTCCAATGAAGCAGCATTATAGATAAAGATAATGCCTGCTGTAAAGATAAAGAAAAGCGAGTAATTATTCACATTCTTGAGACGATCTTCTGCTAATAAGGATTCTGAAATATCCAAAATCTTATTGGCTGCAAAGGTACATATGGAAGCAGATGGGAAAACAGAGGGAGCTATTTTTTGATGTGGGCCAGGAATAAACGGTCGATGAGCCAAGATTAAGGTTGTATAGAACAACATGTGTAATTGACAGAGTTCAAGAGAAGGTGCAGACGCACGTTCATTCAGTCTTGTGTTGGGTGGTCGGTATTGTAAGTTAGGAGGCAACTTGGACATCCATTTATTCAGCTTCTTGTCCAAGGAAGACACCACACTATCTGAAGTAGACATATTAGATAGTTGTTTCCTAGCTCGCACTTTGTATAGATCACAAATCACATCGCCTAGTATTTCGCAAATTTTGATAAGTGAATGGAAGTTTTCCATAATACGTGGCTTGCGATCTAGATCGTCTTGTTCATTTTCGGAAGGATAAGGCGTATCATAATCTCGCTCATCAATCATGGGTGATCGACCATGCATAGCACAAGCGAGTCTATCAAGTACAAAGCAACAATAAAATGCTCTTTTGCGGTTTTCTTTTTCAGTAGGTGTGAGGTCCCAGCTATCACAGTTTCTATGCAGTCCTAAATTTTGTGACATTCGAATGGCCTATTGATAATGAGTCATTTTCCTAACTTTTTTTTTTTTTTTTTTTCGTACCATGCCACTATAAAGCCATCCCCTTGTTGTCTTGAGAGCACCATTTTGATGGCTACTCATAAGCAATAAGGCTTGAACAGTGGATACTTGAAAGCTATCCCATTCCAGATCAAGTAGGATCCGAGCCCGCTCGAAAAATATATCGCCTGCTGTTTCTGGTTTAGAAGGATCCGCTCTCACACGTGTATCCGGGGAAATACGTGATGCCAAAGCATACATAGCGTTGAGTAAAATAGGTGGGGGAGAAGGCACAGTGTCATTATTCAAGGCCTCCATAAAAGACTGTTTGTGTAAGATAGGTAAGAATGGATAAAATGTACTAAAATAAAGGTCAAGTAAATGGTCTCTTAAATCTGAAGGAGGCACTTCAAATGGATCTACAGCGACTGATAAAGAAGGTGGACTATCTTCAGCATGCTCTTTTGAATTAAATTGAAATGCTCGGTTCTGAAAGTTCTTGTTGATCTTGAGCATATAAAAGCCAGATGATCTGCCATAATAACGAAGCTGGCCATTTTCATCAATCGAGAGATTGCCAATGTTGTTGGATTCATCATCATTGAGCATGGTTTTTTCGTTATCATCTTCTTGTTTAATCATAGGTTCAGTCGTTGTCAGAGGACCGCATTCAGCTTCAAATCCCGAGAGTGTTTCTCTACGCATTGGTCTAGGTCGAACAAGTTCACCATAAGCAGTTTCAAGTGGTGCATTTAATTCGTTAATAATAGCTTGAGAGCGAGGGTCATCTTCTTGTACAATACTGCCCAACAAGGCTTCTAATCGATGCAGTCTTCCTTCAATGGCTTCAATGTAACCTTTAGGCGGACCTCTCTACATTTAGATGAGTTTGATACTCTCCGTATCGTATATGTACCTTTTTTGTTGATTCTTTATAATGACAAGTAAGACCTAATGTACTACAGTTGTTACAAAAGGGCGATGCACCATCGCACTTTACTTTCTTTCGTCGACATTGTTCACTGAGGAGAATGAATAAAACAAAAAAAAAGGAGAGCGCGCTTTCTATGTTTAAACTCACCAGGCTTTGCTAACTCTTTGTCGTTTATGTTCAGCGTGGTCGGTCATAAGAAAAGAAAGAAGAGAGAAAAAGAAAAGAAAAGAAAGAGAGAGAGAGAGGGGATAAAAAGGGAAAAAAATGGGAAGGGGCACATTAAAAAAACAGAAGGATTTTTCACGTCATGAATTCCTCAAAAGGTAAATGTGGGGGACAAGAAAGAAAGCTGTCAATTAGTAAGCGTATACCTTTTTTTTTGCTCTTTCTTTCTTATTGGGTTTGTTTCTTTGATTGTATTTGAATAAGTTGGCTATACCCTTTACCGCTACCATTCATGCAATATGGTATATTCTATATAGTCTATTTCCCCAATCATCTCTTCATTTGTGTTACGTTGTTTTAATAGAAAAAAGACAAAATTCAAGCCGGAAACTATTGGAATAAATACGAATCTTTTAGGCATGTGTGACAAGTTCTTTTATGCTACATACTTGACAGATCTTTGAAACCTGTAAAAAAATGGGTTGATTTAATTCTAAATATGAAACAAGAGAATAGTCGTATGAAAAACGGTTTTACGATCAGCGATGGTAAACCTTGATTTCATGTCACTTTGTTTTCATTAACCTATACCGCAATTTGGCATGTCAATGTTTTCATAACTGAAATAAAGTTACTATTGTGTTCATATGTAAAACAAAACAAAAAAATTATATTAAATGAGATTGTGGGAGGGACAAACCCTTGCCGCACTGTAGAAGGCCAAAAGGGACCCGAAGAAACGATTGCTTTTATTTGCATGACGACAAGAGCTTTCTTGTAAAAAAAAACATAAAAGAGAAAAAAAGACAGAACAGAGCTTCACAATCCCCCTCCCCCAATGCAAAAGAAAACCAAGACAATGAGCATAATTGCCTACCTTCATTTAATAAACATCTTACTATCAATTCTGTTACACAAGCAGATAGATAAAAGGGGGTGTATGTTTGATTTCGTTACCCTTTTAACTGTTTGAAAATACGAGTTATAATGACGAACAAGATATCTCATTTTGGGATGAAGATGAGTCATAATTAGTCCATGTTTAGAGCTAAAAGCATTCATTTCAAGAGACAAAGGCTTTTCTCTTAACGGGTAACACTTTAAATATATGTTTGCCCCTTTCTTAAGCATACAGAAATACCATAGAGTCTTTTCATACACTTTTAAATGCTCTAAATACCTACAAAACATGTTCACGAGTATATAGGGCACTTGTGGAGTTGGTCTAGACAAAAAAAAAGCAACTTGGAAGAAATGGTTAAATATGCCTTTTGACCAAAGGGTACTACTCATGAAAAACCTCGTTTTATCAACTCTTGATCTTCTTTTGGACACTACAAGACAGAAAACAGGGCCATTGACAAGTTTAAATACCCAAAATGTGCACCTGACGCTCTAGTTTTTGATCCAAGTGTTTGCTTATCGGTTGTACTATGAAAATAGTATGATAAGAGCAAAAAACCTCGTAACCATTTTTGCGTGTTTGCGCAGAACTTTAGCAGCAAAGTTGGTATGTTCTTTATATTAGTAGGCTCAGAAAACAAAGATTTACAACTTTTGTCACTACACCAAAGCCCAACAACTGCGCCTTTATGCAGTTCTCAGCAAAAGCTCGATTTTTTTTAATGATTTTATTTGCCGCACATATTAGTGGTCTTGGGAGGGACCCACTACAAGAGGTGTTCGACAATCATTTATTGTAAGAGAATATAAAGAAAAACAAAATTGGTACGATAGTAAGAAGGTAGAAAAATATAAAAGGAAAGAAGAGAAACTATTGCGAGAAAAGACCTCTCAAGATGAAAGGTCATTTTCAGCAGCTATACGCTTAATTTGATAGCGAGTGCTATGAAGAACAGAGAGATAACGGAATGGTTGGTTCTTCATGGTATGGGCCCAGTGAGACTTACAGATCTCAGAGAGACCGATCAAGGTTACCATGGCTATTGAAAGAGGACAGTTGGTTTGAGACCGAATCCGAGAAAAATTGAAAGATGCAGGTGCATCAAAAAAGCTCAATTTTGATGCGGCGCGAAGAAGAATCAGAGTTGAATCTATTTTAATCTCCACTACATAGTCTCTCTGTATCTCTTATGTCCATTTACCACCACATTTACATTAGAGAATGCTTTTTTTTTTATTGAACTATATTCTTTAGCACTATAGATAGTGCAATTTATCTTTTGAAGGCCCATTAGTAGCACATTCTATATGACATTCAGAGCAAAAATGCTCAAAGCACAGCTTAAACAAGCCAATCTTTGATGGATCATTGCTCAACAACTATATGATCAAAACAGTCCGTTTTTTGTTTAAAACATGTTCTTTTGAGCCAAAAGATTGAATGGTACCATTGGTTTGGCTGTTGGGTAAGATTCATTTTTTGGCCGATGGGAGATTCATGGAGGTAAGCTATAAATAGTTTCAAATCCATTGCTATTATTTTATTTGTGTTTTGATCTCTTGCCATATTTATTTCGAGTGTATGAGTACACAACAATTTGCATTAGTTTATTTGTACAAATCTATATATCAAGCTCCGAGAAGAATTATCATAGAAACACAAAGTACTAAGTTGCTTGCATTTTATATCGAGTGTCATAAAATCCTATCCTTCCACTAGTTGCATTTGCGGTTAAGCCATGGGAAAGAAGACACCATACTGAGTATTGGCTGGAGTGGGATTCATGGGTATCAGAACTGGTTTGCAGGTTAGGTGTCAACTATAAACCAATACACCCTTGAAGTGTTCCTCCTTACCATCTCTGGCCAATCTCAAATAAAATCTCTCTCTACTTTCTTTAATATACGCTAAATCTGAATAGACACCCCAAGACATCGAGCGAGCTAAAAGGCATATCCACATCAAAATGATTAGGATATTCAAAGCCACCTTTTCTTACAGGACGCTCTATATCCAGCTTTCTAAGATTTGGCAATTGAGCAGAGATTCGATTCAAAAAGGCGGGTGAAATAATATTACATTGATCAAGGTTGAGTTCAACAATCGACGTATTCATTCTGGATTCACAATCGCAGGCGTAACATTCAAAGCCTTTTACACAGAGTTTTCTTAGTTGAGAGCATGTAGCGAAGGCATTTTTGATGCACTATTGATGTCTTTTAGTTAGCTGAGCATGTCCAACAGGTTGGTTTAGGGCATAGTAGTCATGAACGATAGGAAAATCGATTGTTAAATCAGTGATCAAGTCGGCATAGTCCACAAGTTGATACGCCTTAGCTTCCGGCACGATAACAGAGATAGTCTGGGTTCCTGGAGTTCTTTTTATAAGTCAAGCCGGCTGTTTGAACACCGTTAGGCTTGAAATTCACAGAAACAGAAAGAGAACCATTCATCATAGTTTCGAAACAAGTACGTATGAAAGGTTGCGCCTCCTTTAGTTCAAAACTGTACAATTTAAACGAATCAGTACGAGAGATGTAATTAATGAGCCTCTGTAGAACGTCTGGTGAAGGTCTACTTGCAGGAACATAAGCGATACTGACTCCTTTCAAACGAGGAAAATTGTTGATACAGTACAAGATCAAATTATCTGAAACAGGCGCATCATTCAACCAAAGTGTTTCTATATCAGTATGCGGAACAAGTGTTGACGATTTTTGCTGGCTCAATTGACTGCTGAATCTAGGAGTAATTCATTTTTGCATCCAACATCTTTATGTGAGGGCATACGTCAACAACGTTTGTTACATCTTTAAGTGTAATTTTAGAGCTCCTTTCCAACACCGCTTCCTTCAAAGCCTTTAGATGTTCGAGGTCCTTGAGAAACGCGTAGTATTCCCCATTTGAATAGGTATTGGTATCCGAATCAGAGTCTTCACTTACGTAATCGCCATTTCTGCGACGAACATATTCTTCTTCACTTCCGGACATGTATGCATATCTTCTACGAGGTTCATATTGGTCTTCATCGAACAAGTCTCTTATTTTATTATATCCAGATCCTTTCGCACCATCATCAGTTATATCGACCGAGACTATTGTGTCTGAAAATGCCATGACCGCATCACGATGATAGTTCAACTCGTTCTTTTTAAAGGGGCCTAGAATTCGTTCCACATGTTTCAGTTGACCATTACGCCGCGCTTGTATGAGTGCAGACCAAACCTCTGGGGACGTTGCTGTACCAATAAAAGTGAGATCAGGCAGGCACTTGAACATGTCAGTCATAAGAGTACTATATCTCTTTTGCCTAATGGCGCTTTCTGTAAGATATTCGTAAGCGCTATAGGTGCTCCTAAGTTCTTTGATAAAAACGCACAGCTCCACTCGCTTGACAGGACTTCCAAGATGTGGTGAAATAGCAATCCTCTTGTCAAACTTTTTCCAATTGGGTTCGCTGGAAATTTTGACATCTTTGTACAAAAGTAATCACGTAATTCTGAACTAGTTTCGGCAAACAAGCTGAACTCGAAGCAAATTATGTTATTCATAGTCTTCGAAAACATTTCGTACTATTTCTGATGGCAGATCAGCTCAGTTCCTCAGCGCATGAAAGGGTTAAGAAAAAGAAAATAGGTGCTAAATGAAATCATACAAATGATGCAAAGAATAGCATGTTTATTTTCGAGCTAAATAGTCGAGCACACAGTTATACATAGACTAAAGCCTATTGAACAAACATACATTACCATCTCATACCATTTTGTGTTCTAAAAGGTATCTACAGAGCTGATTGTAGTGATCCGAGTTCGGGAATATAGTCCTTTCTTTCTGCAAAGTTGCCTTGAATCAATGTAATCTTTAGCCAATCAAAAACAAATAGCTTGACCATTTTTTAAAGCTCGCGTTGTTTCAGGAAATCAATCTATTGCTGTGCATTTTTTTTCTCTTTCTTTTTCTCAACAACAATGAAACAAGAACCTTTTACACCAACAGAACAAGAGATTATCTCCAACGTGTTGAAAAGAAGTCTAGGTCCTGAGTGGATCAATCAACGTAGTGGACCTAGTGGACGATTAACTTACATTGAAGGCAAGACAGCCATCAACTTGGCCAACGAGATCTTTGGCTTCAATGGCTGGTGTTCCGAGATCAAGGATACCACTGTTGATTTCGTAAGTAGAGACACCTAGATCGATACAAAAACTAAAGCGATCGTAGGTTGATGTCACTTCTGAAGGCAGAACTAATATTGGTGTTTCTGTGACCATCAAAATCACATTGAAGGATGGCACCTTTCACGAAGTAAATACTGTCTTCTCTTGTCCATTTGCGTATTGATTTCTTTTAGGATATTGGTTATGGCTCATCAGAAAACGCTAAAACAAAAGCAAGTGCTTATGAAAAAGCTAGAAAACAAGCAGTAACAGATGCTACAAAGCGTGCTCTCCGTAGCTTTGGTAATGCTTTGGGTAATTGCCTTTACGATAAAAACTATCTTGACAACATTGTGAGAATGGCAAAGCCACAGGTATGTCAATTATACAAGAAGAAGCGCGTATAAACTTTTTTTTACTCTATAGATCAAATTTACACCTTTAGGTTTGTATCGTCATGATCAGTTTGATACCAAAAAGCAAGAACAGCTTCAAATACAACAAAACGAACAACAAAGACATCAACAACAACTTCAGATCCAACAACAAAGACAACAAAACATGTTGGAAGAAGAAAAGAAACAAAACCAAATCAAACATGAACCTCCATCATCACATCATATCCAGACTTCTACGCCTCAAGCCAATCATACCACTTTGAATAAACCTCCTTCTGTCAGCACAGAAAACACTTCACCAAAAGAACCTGAGCGTCCTACTTTACTTCCTGAAGATAGCTTTTCTTATGGTAAGCCATGATTAATCTATATCAATCAAGAGACTAATTGTGCTTAGAAGGTGATGATGAGTTCTTTGTGCAAATGATACAAGCAGAAGATGAATTTGAGCTAGGACTTAGCGTGAAAGATGAAATGTAAAATACCAATAAATACACTTAGTGATACTTAACATATATAGTGATGATCCAACTACTGGTACAATGAAAGAATCGCAAAAATCAGGTAAATAAAACCATGTCATTGGATAACCTAAACTGAGATTGTTAGAAACCGAGCCGCTTATTGGTATGAGAAGGTAAGACAAAAGAATCTGATAACATCCGATCGGATTCTAAAGGAAATTAAACTTAGAGAGGCGCCTTTATCAGATCTTGACAAGAATCATTTAAACAAACGCACTCGTACTTCTCAATAAGACATTAGACAAAGATAAATGCCAACGTTCTCTATTCAATAAGAAACAATTACTCTTTTACTGATAATAATAAAAAGAAATCCAAGTTCTTTTTGGTGACTGCGTCGATATGAAAAAAAGGAGACGTTAGTAATCAAAAGAACACAAAAAAAAAACTTTTTCATTCGGAGTTTGCCAGGTTTGTTTGCTCCTTAAAAAAACAAAAGTGAGAGAATATCGCTAGCCCCCCAATTCTCTCTTTCTCCCTGTTTCTTTCATTTTTTTTTTCAAAACATGAGCAACAGATCACACGTTACTCGCTTGCCTGTTGAAGGCATGACTTGTCATTCATGTGTGCGTGCTATCACGAATGCTTTATCTCTTTTGAATGGTGTTGAACAAGTACAAGTCAACCTCGAAACATCAGAAGCAATTATCACTTATGATGCTTTGATGATAAACTACATTGATCTCAAAAATAACATTGAAGACTGTGGATTTGACGTACCTATTTCAACAACCACTCTATCTGTGTTTGGCATGACTTGTCAATCTTGTGTGAGATCAATTACAAATGCCCTTTTAGCTGTCCATGGTATTGTCAATGTAGATGTCAATTTAGAAATAGAAAACGCAACTATTGTCTACGACCCCTTGTTAGTGCAAGTGCCAGATATTGTAGAAACGATCGAAAACTGTGGATTTGACGTAGTCATGAACGATACAGCACGTAGCAATCAAGCCAGCAGCTCGAGTAGAACACCCATAGAAAAAACATCTTACGATCATTATACAACGGTACAATTACAAGTTCGGGGAATGACTTGCGCATCTTGTGTAACAAGTATAGAGAAGGTCCTCAAGTCTCACCAAGGCATTTCTCAAGTCAATGTTGCCTTATTGGCTGAACGAGCTACTGTAAATTACGATCCTCTGGTGGTTGATCCCGAAACCATTGTCCAGATAATTCAGGATGCTGGTTTTAATGCCACTATGGTAGAACCCAAACAAGACGACTTGCTCCATTTACAAGTGTATGGTATGACCTGTTCAAGTTGTGTGGCAAGCATTGAGCGTGGATTGAGACAGTCGCCTGGTATTTTAGAAGTCTCAGTCAACCTCATGACAGAAACAGCCAAGGTTCGCTTCAATGTCCATGCTACCAGTCCTCGTACGATTGTGGAAACCATTGAATCTCTTGGGTTCAATGCCATCTTGGCCGCAACGACCAAAGACGCTCAACTAGAAAGTCTATCCAAAGTCCGTGAGATTCAAGAATGGAAGTCTACACTTATTGAATGTTTATTTTTTGCTGTGCCTGAATTCTTTCTTGCTATGGTTTTGCCTATGTTCAGCTGGAGTCATTATGTGACTGAGATCCCTATTTTCTTGCCTGGTCTCTACCTGATGCAGATCACACAACTGCTGTTGACACTACCTGTTCAGTTTGGTGTTGGTCAGCGATTTTTACGATCTGCTCTTGTGTCTATTCTACACGGTGCTCCTACCATGGATGTCTTGGTTGCTGTCTCTACTTTGGCTGCATTCAGTTTCTCGATCGTGTCTATGGGCCGTGGTATTGTGTCTCAATCATCCTCACCGCCTACTGTGTTTTTCGATACATCGACCATGTTGATCACGTTTATTGTCTTGGGTCGCTACCTTGAAAACAAAGCCAAAGGTAAATCTTCTTCTGCTCTCTCTAAACTTATGTCGTTGACTCCCTCGACTGCCTTGATGGTGACACTGGATGAAAACTATGTCGTGTTGACCGAGAAGAAGATTCCTTCTGAACTGATTGCTGAAGGCGATTTACTCAAAGTGGTTCCTGGCGATAAAATCCCTGCAGACGGTCAAGTCTATGTCGGTTCTACTACCGTGAATGAAAGCATGGTGACAGGTGAAGTGGATGCTGTGTCTAAGCAAGTAGGTGATACAGTGATCGGTGGTACTGTCAATGGACTCGGTACTTTTATTATGAAGGCAACGCGTGTGGGCTCTGATACAGCGCTAAGTCAAATCGTGAAACTGGTCGAAGATGCTCAGGTCAGCAAAGCACCAATTCAAGGATTTGCTGACCATGTGGCTGGTTACTTTGTTCCTACGGTGATTGTCCTTGGCCTCAGCACCTTGATGGTATGGACTGTTTTGATTAAAACGGTAGGCATAGAGAACTTGCCTACGTCTTTACAGAAGGACATTGATAATAGTGGCGAAGGAGGTTGGTTCTTTGTGTGTCTGAAGCTCTGTATCAGTGTGATTATTGTTGCTTGTCCCTGTGCTCTTGGGTTGGCTACGCCTACTGCTGTCATGGTAGGTACAGGTGTAGGTGCTGAAAACGGTGTGCTCTTTAAAGGCGGTGCTGTGTTAGAAAACGGTCAAGCAGTCAACAAGATTGTGTTTGATAAGACGGGTACATTGACATGTGGTAAACTGGACATGGTAGAAGCTACTACTTGGAAAAAAGATAAGACGGTTTGCTTACAGATGTTGATCATGGCTGCTCTTGCAGAGTCACACAGTGAGCATATCTTGGGTCGTGCCATGGTAGCTAAAGGCAAGTCATTGACAGGCCTTGATGTGTTGGATCCTTTAGCTTCTGTTGTCAATTTCAATAGTGAGACTGGTTTTGGTATCTCTTGTGATATTGTATTTGGCCATACTTTGCCCAACGACTTGACTTCTTCTGCAAGACAGGCTCTTGACCCTCTTTTGAACACGTCACATACGATTGTGGTCGGTAACAAGAAATGGTTAGAAGAGTACAATGCTATTGGCCTCTCGGATGAACAAGATGATGTCTACAAGTCTCAAGGTGCTCTTGGCCGTACGTGTGTTCTGGTCGGCATGGATGGTGTTGCCTCTGGTTTTATTTCTTTATCTGATCTCGTAAAACCTGAAGCCAAACAAGTAATTACTACTTTACATGCCATGGGTATCCAAACTGCCATGGTTACAGGTGATAATGAGTTAACAGCACGGTGCATTGCAGATCAACTCGGTATCCAAGAAGTCCATGCAGGTGTTTCTCCTAGTGGCAAGACTCAGATAGTGAAGACCATGCAAGAACAATCCTTTGTCACTCAACGTCCTTCTTGGTGGTCTCGCTTCCGATTCACTCAAAACGAATACCTTCCTCTTCATCAAGAAAGTACATCTAAAGGCAACAAGACTGTGGTTGCCATGGTGGGTGATGGCATCAATGATTCTCCTGCTTTGGTGGCTGCTAATTTGGGCATTGCTTTATGCAGTGGTACAGATATTGCCATGGAAGCTGCTGATGTGGTCTTGATGCGTAATGATTTGACCGATGTCGTGGTTGCTCTGGACTTGTCCAAGGTGATTTTTCAACGTATACGAATGAACCTGCTTTGGGCTTGTGTGTATAATATGGTTGGTATTCCTCTTGCCATGGGTATCTTTTTGCCTTGGGGATATCGTCTGCATCCTATGATGGCTGGTTTGGCTATGGCTGCTAGTTCAACCAGTGTTGTTCTCAGCAGTTTGACCTTGAGATGGACTTGGAAGAAACCAGTGCTGGTGAGCACAAACAAGACAGTGAATCCAATGCATGAAGATATTGAAATGAATTTACACTCTACATCTTTTGATGAACGTAACGGTCTTTTGAATGACTATTAAGTTCTACATTGTTTATATTTTTGTATATAATAAAGTTTATTTTTTTTTTATAAAAAAAAGGGGAGGGGGTACATAAGGTGTTGAACTATGATACAATTGAGAAGGGAATACGCGCTAGCGAAGCAAGCAGACACGTAAAAAGAAAAAAAAAACAATCTAAGGCGTTGAAGCCCTTTTTTACTCGGTCTAAATTTAGAAAGAAGGAATGTTGGTTCTTTCAGCCATAGGAGGATAGGTAGGACCAACACGCTTGATGACAATGTTGGCAAGGTAATGACCAGCTTGAACACAACGAGCAGGATCAGTGACACCTTGAGCATACAAACCCATGAAACCACCACAGAAACCGTCACCAGCACCGTTGGTATCAACGATTTCACTGGCATCTACCTTGATAACAGGGTAAACGTGAGATTCTTCACCACAAGCAGTGACAGTGGCATCAGCGCCTTGAGTAATCACCACCAAACGAGGCTTAGCGTTGCCCTTTTCCAATTGAGACAACTTCTTTGCGATTTCTTCAACATTGTCTGTGTTCCAGCCAGCTTGCTTGGAGTAAGTGCGAGCTTCATCTTCGTTACCAAAGAGAATATCGGTATTCTTGATGATAGAATCAAGACGTTCCTTGAAGAATTGAGACAAGAAAGGAGCACTCAAGTTAAGAGCAAAAGTCTTGTTGTTTTCAGCAGCGTGTTGAGAAACCAACAAGGCAGATTGATAACCACCATCATGAGTGATAAAGAAACTACCCATATAGAAGTATTGAGCTTCTTCAACGAGCTTCCAGTTTTCAGGCTTTTGAAGGAAAGAAGCTTGGAACTTTTCAGCAGCAGCCAAGTTAGCAACAAGAGAACTAAAAGATTAAAGTCAATAAACGCGTAAATCACATCAATGAAAAAAAAAGAAGACTTACCGGTTGTTACCAGTGATCAAGACAGCACAAGTACCAGTAGGTGCATCCTTAGTAATTTCATAGTTGGTGTACAAACCATCAGCCTTAGCAGCGTCACCCATGATTTGACCAAACTTATCATCAGAGGCACAGCCCATATAAGCAGTGGAGTTAGGGGGCAAGAAGAATTGAGCACCACGAGCAGTGTTTTGAGCGGCACCACCAGCAACATAGGCAACTTCATAGTTATCAACGATTTCAGTGTACAAAGGTTGGTGAGAAGCATCAGCCAAGATAGCATCGTTAGCCTTGAGCTTATACTTATCCATAAGCTCTTGAGCAGGTTTACATTGAATATCCAATAAAGGATTTTCCATAGCAAGAAGAGTGTAAGGCATTTTTAGATTGAGATGAAGAACAAGATGAAAATCAGAAAAACTTTTTTTTTATTATTATTATTGTATTTTTTATACACAGCTAAATTTCTATTGGAAGACTCGCTTATCACTAGCTTCTGTTTCTCTACTTTCTTCAGCCATTCTGATTCTATTTTCACGCTCAAAGTTACTCTTTTGTCTCTTGGTGTATTTCTCGAGTTTTTCTTTACGAATAGCAGAGCGAACAAAGTTAGGGTGAACAAATTCAGGGTTCTCATAGACAGTGGGACCACCAAAAGAACCTTCAAAGATACGAATAGGTGTAAGACAGAAACGAGGACCAATTTCAACCAGCGAGATATCATCTTTATCCATAGGATTAAAGCCAGGTGTGTTTTGAGCATTCTTTTCAACAATCTAAATAGAGTATGAGACACGATCAAACATATCTAGTTATATCTACCTGATAGTTTCTAAACCAAACACGGTTATCCACAATAGAAAAGGACAAGACATGATCAATAAAAGGCTTTGAGCGTCTTGATCCCTTGGGCACATTAAAGACTTGGCCTAATAATTCTTTCAAAAGAGACCAATGAGGTGCAGAATCAAAAGTCTTATCAAAAGACAAAATGTGTCGAGAACCCTTTAAACAGTTACCGGTCATCTTCAATTCGTCCATTGTGTGCAAGTTTTGAAGATGGAATTTGACAGAAGGACCGTTAGGTGTCTTGGCCATCCAGACATACAAGTCTTGCTTCTTTCTTACTTCAAAAAAGACAGCATTGTTACAGTTGTTGAGATCAGCCAATTCATTCAAAATATAGAGGTTGTTCTTTGTATCCAACTTGGCATCTTTTTTGGAATGAGGCATCATGGCTTCGAGATCTGAAAGCAAATGACGATAACTATGTGACAGGTTAGACACATTGAATCTTACATGACAACATACCGATAAGTGACACCACGAGAACAGAGCATCATCACTCTTTGTTTGTTGATTCTCTTGTCCTTAGACTTTTGTTCACTCGATTTGTTCTTTACAAGTTCTGCAGTTTTATATAAAGTAGACATGATGGATCAATAAGGAAGAAGAGTTTTTTTTTTTTTTTTATAAAAAAATCCAACTGCTTTGAAAAAGCCACACGTACCACATAGTAATGTTTGGTCTCCGCAGGCAAGGGACAGGATTACCTTATGCTAAAGTATCCAAGCATTTGTTGTCTGTAAGCTAAATATATAATAACAAAGTGTAACAAATACTTATTTCATCACATTTTGAAATAAGAAAAAATCCAATTGTTTGCGTCTTTAGTAACAAAAGAATCTTTTAGTCTGCGTTACACAGCCTCTTTCCCAAATAAAAAGGTTTATTATCATTATTATTATTTTGCCCACCAAATAAGAAGAAAACAGCTTTAGTATCTCAAGTCTTGCAAAGTAACATACAAAACTGCATTTTACATGAAAGTCAAAAAAGAAAAGTATATTAGGAATTGTATTAATTTGATTTACTCTTGAGTTTCTTGTACAGAAGCAACATCTTTTCTTCTTTCCAATCAGCCCACACTTCATAGATGGCTAATATCTCTTGACTGATTTCAATTATACTCTTTATATCCACATTTAAGTCTGCAAACCATTGTTTCATATCGCGTTGATCACCAGCAGAGCCTGGTGCAAAATCAGCATGATTCAATACAACAGTCAAATAAATAGCAGCCAGTGCTATCAGATGTGGTGGGTATAAAAGACACACGTCTGTTCTATATGAATCATTCACAATAAACCAAGCATACTGTAGCCCTGACTCTCGCATGCCTAACTCATTGCATATCTGTGTCAGGGATCGATATGGGTGCCATACAATCAAATAGAATTCGAGTTCTTCTAATAAATAAAATTCGAATTCTGCTACTTTGGAACTGTCATAAGGAAATCCACCAAATTCAGCTAGGTACAATTAGTAAGCTTGGCATTTGTTGGATGTAGATTTTACATTGAAATACGTTCTTCGCTTCTTGAGTGACCATTTTGATATGTATAGGACACTCTTCTATTTTTGTTGCTAAATAAACACAGGTAACTAGGACAAGAACTGGGTCTGTCTCTCGAAGACTGTTACTATCATCCATGTCAGTCTCAATATAAGAGTATAGACGCATACTTTATATAAAATCGCTTGAAATATACAAATGCTGTAGCCACTACTTGTTGCCGTAGCTGAAGTCTTTTCGCTAGTTTTTGAATGACTAGAGAATAGTTACAATCAAGTCGTTTGATTCATGTCTTACGATGACAAAACCAGATTCGTATTTTGACATAGTCGTTTTCAGACACGTATTTTAGATCTTCTTCTCTGCTTTTTACTAGACTCCAACGGTCAAGCATCCAATGGTTTCTATAAAAAAAAAACAGATTAGCTTGCAAATCATATTGTTCATTACTTTACCTCTGTGCTGAAGCCCAGTAGTTAGCAGCCATATTGATCACTAAAGAAGAAGAGAAAAAATAGAGAAAAATACAGGACACAATTTATGACTCTCAAATACTATCGTTGTATTTGACGAATTAAAAGCAGAGGAGAAGAGAAAAGAGTTGAGTATAAAGAAATGTATATGTGATAATTGTATAGTATATCTCCCTCTCTCTATATATATCTTTTGTCTCTCAATAGCTACAATTATCTATGACAAGCTTTATTCAAAGCCATTATAATGGTTGATTTAAGTCTATGTACATCAGAAAGAGTTAAAAACACACTGTTTGATTATGCACCACATACACAATTAATATATTTTTTTCTAATAGAATCCTGATAGAAAAGTAGTTGTTATCATTGACACGTATATTCGTAAAAAAATTTGTCACTGTGTCTCTTGTTCTAGATTGTCAGAATTTGAAAAAAGTCATGTTTGATGACATTACTGTACTTATAGTTATTGTCTTTGTGAGGATTCACTTTGAATATTTATTACCGCATAGATATCTCAGATTCTCGATATTCATAACATCTGAAACTATCAGTTCACTAGAGAACAATTGCTTCAAGTCACAGACATCATAGAATTCAACGACATTGTAAGACAATTTTTTTTAGCTTAAAACAATGTGGTTGCACGACTTTTTTCTGTCTGGTATGTTCTTTTTTTTCTATCTATTGTCATTTGACAAACAAGAGGGAGAAGGATGATAAGAATTTTGCTCAATAGAGTATTGTTATGGACAGTAAATTAAAATTAAACAACTCAGAGCAAAGAAGGCCTTAAAAGAAATATAAACAGCAAAGAGTATACATAAAATATGAACCAAGAACTGTTTCACACTGTATCGTAGAATGATTGAATACAAAGTCAAATGTCAGCCTTTGCCAAAGATCTACAGATCTTCTTCTTTTTTTAGCCAGATATCACTCATGAAACTCTTGCGTTCGAGATTGACCCTTTTTTAAAGAAGGTTATCATATTGGGCTGCATGAAGCATGTCCTGTGTAACACAAGTTCAATGAATGGCTCACACACAAACACTAAATCTGCAAACTAACAAACGGGGCAAGTTCTTTTTCTTATTTCTGTTTGTGTATAAACACAAGACCATGTGTTTACCTAGGTCATGAAGAAGTTTGGATTCAAAAGCACTTTTTCTTTTTTGTGTATATTTAAACTATATATTCCTATACTATCAGTCCCCCTTAAAAGTAGAATTCTTTGCCATGGATTTATTTATGGACTGAATTTCATTACTGCAGATCGTCATACTAAATTTACACATTTACTCATCGTAATTTGTATCCGTCAAGATAGAATTCGGAATATCAATGAAAGTTCCCTTTTTTCGGGATCAACTCTAAGCTATTGAGAACAATAAAAAAAAAAGCATGAATATGTAGATCTTGACCTTCTTTTTCATATAGCATAAAAAGGAAGAAAGAAAAAAGCCATTGTTTTATTGTTACAACAAAAATAGGAGAATGTTGACAAGGAGAACTTTTTTCTCTTTCTGTTCTTTGACCAAAACTCAGCCGTTCTTTATATCTTTAAAAGGCAAGACGTTAAATGTCTATCTTTCTTTTTTACTCCCATTTCTTCATTTTCTTTTTCCATCATGTCATTCCCAAAACCGAATTTACCTTCAATTCAATCCTTGCTAAATCAAGACACTCATATCAAGTCAGTCAATGTACATAAAACAAGCAACTTGCCTTCTGAATTACAACAACTTTCACTGTCTGCTCCTGCCACTCGGATAGAAAAAAGCGAAAATCATCAGCCTAGTTGGATGTTCATGCCTCCTAATAGGAAATTGCCTAGCCATACAAGGTCTTGTTCTGATTTTACATTTTCATTACTACCTCCACCTACAACAACAACAACAACAACAACAAAACCTAGATACCAGGCACATAGACGTACTGTGTCCGCCACCACCACCTCCACCACAGCCATGATACAGCACAACCATTCTCTTCCCCATATTTCAGAGTATACAAGAGCCCGCACCGATAGCCCGCCTCATCATGATGATTCTAACCAAGCATTGTTTGATGCTCTTCAAATCACTAGCCATTCAAATCCTACTGTCTTTCTAACTCAAGTTGACAGTCTGGTAGATCAAGAAACAATAAAAGATAAACTTGGACTAAAAGAAACAATTGAATACGAGAATCTGATGGTAGCAAGAGACGAACAAACTGGAAAATATTATTGTCCGTTTTGCAATAAGCCTTTCAATCGACCTTCTTCACTTCGAATTCATACGTATTCTCATACAGGCGAAAAGCCCTTTGTCTGCCAAGAAAAGGGTTGTGGACGTCAATTCAGTGTACAGAGTAATATGCGAAGACATTTAAGAGTTCATAGACGAGGAAAATCCAAGAAACATGCCTCAAGATAATAAATTTCTATTTCCACTTTACCGATTTGCCGCTTTTTCTTGTTTTTTTTTTCTTTGTGCCTTTAGAAACCATCTATTGTCTTTTTTTTTTTTTCTTTTTTTCTTTTCTTTTCGCTTCTTTATCTCAAGATTCAATGCTCGTTTATTCATGGACAAACAAGCATAAAGCATAAAGCAAGAAAAAATATTAAAAACAAAAAAAAAGATGGGATCGTTCGTGTAACATCAACCGAATAATCGGCAATGAATTTATTCTTCGTCCAATTCATGGTGATCAAGCAAAGTATCAAATTCAAAACTATTTTCATCTCCAGCTGGTTTTGTGTACTGAGTGGTTGATGATATGTATTTCTTGACGATAAAGGCAGTGCTCACAATACTGGCAATCATAAAGACAGAAACAAGACTATACATAATGACATGACTTTCCTTGTTGGTCTCGGTCAGTTGGTCTTCATTTTGGTCAATAAAAGATTGATTGTTGCCATGTTCAAAATCATCTACACCAATATGAGGTCTTTCTTGCTTGATTGCCAATCCTTCACCCCATAATGTCAGTCTCCAATCAATAAACTGGCCCGTGAATTCGGGATTCTTTCCATCCACCACGCTTAACGTCCAACTACCTACAGGATCTTCTTCCCTATATACAATGTGTCAGACACATAACAAAAAAAAAAAAAAAAAAAAAAAAAAAAAAGATACCAAAGCGTGTTTTCCTTACCAATGCTTTACTGTCATAAATGTCCAGTCCATGAGACCAGCATCACTTTTATCATACCGACGAGGTGTACCTAATTGACTTACTATACCATGAGGACTCGTCAACAAAATCTCCAAGTCGCCACGTCGTTGATGCTCAATATTGACTGTCACAGTGACATGCTCAAGACGTGACAGACCTGCGCTCTCTACCATCTCTGGTGTCACATTTAATGTGCTTGTGAATGCCATAGCATAATCCATGGCAGCGCCTTCCAGTGGTGTGATATCAGGAATATCCAACTTGAGTTCTTGCTCTTGGTCTTGTTTTGTAGATGCAACCACCAGACTTGTTTGAGGACCTACAGACTCGAAGTTTTTGGCAAGCTCAACGATTTGGTATGCGTCTAATACGCCATACCCAAATTTATGGTTAAATAGACGTCCAGAAGGTAGTGTGGTCCAGTCAGGATCCTCAAGTGAGATGGGTATAGCTGATTGAACACAGAGGTGTTGTATATCACGCCAACTGAGGTCAGGACGAACAGAGAGAACAAGTGCAAACACACCTGCAGCTAAAGGGGCAGCAGCCGATGTACCACCATGTCGATCTGTGCATTGACTATTGCCTATATCCGTGGTATAGATATACCCCCCATTCCCACTAGAGTAAGTCACGACCAGTTGAGCAGCACAGCGTTCTGAATAAGCAGGATGTTGTCCTAATCGATCAATGGCACCCACCGTGATGGTATAAAGACTGTTGGTGTAACCATCAAAGTTACAATTATCGTCATTGGCTCCACCATTGCCCGACGCAAATACAAATATCGAACCTGAGCCATTTCTTCCATGTTGAATGCCATTCTTGATAGCATCTAAAACGATGCCCTGTGGTGCTTCTGCTACTTCACCAGCATCAGGGGGACCCCAGGAACATGAATAGATGTGGTTTTGTTGGTATTCGTAATTCAAGGCAGCAGCTTCATCAGCCTCTGTGATTTGTCCCGATAAGATTCGTACACCAGCAACTTTGGCATCATAGGCTACACCTACGCCACACATGGTATTCTTGACAGCAGCTATTTCGCCAGCACATCGTGTACCATGTGTGTCATCCGAAAGACGTGGCTTGGGTTCATGAACATGATCATTGAAATCAAAAGAGCCTGCAGCAAACTAAAAGCAAGTATAAATGCTATATAAAAAAAAAAAGACAGGCCACTTACATAATTGGCTTTTAAATCTGGGTGATCCATATCAAGTCCATCATCTAAAATGGCTACCACTACACCTTTGCCAGTAATGCCTTGACTCCAGACACCTGTCACATTCAGATCATGTCCTCGTTCTTGTGTATTGATCTAAACAAACAAATAAATAAATAAAAGATTGCATGGCATTGGAATACATTACCAAATGCCATTGGTTATCAAAACCAGGATCATGAATGTCCAGTACATTTTTGAGTTTATTGAAGCCATCTTGCTGGTCTAAAGAAGGTAAAGGTATAGTTTCCCCATTGATTTTGTATTCTTCTGTTGTGTTTTCTACGATAGGGGGTGGTGCGCGTTTAAAGAGTCGTTGTCGTGGTATTTGATGATGTAGTTGATCGACAAGCACTTGGTCTCTTTTTTGATGCTTATAGTGTCTAAATTGATGGTGTATGCTGTTTTGGTCTGACAAAGGTATGCTTATCCAATAATAATGACTTAATTCTCCTACAGGTCCTTCTAATCTTGCACCTAAATGTTGTGCTATTTCTTGTGCAGAATGAATATCATTTGGATAGACTGTATGTATTGTATAATACGATCGTTTGGTATAGTCTCTTTTTTCAATACAAAAAGCAAGCTGAATCCAAAAGGTATATAGGAACAAAGCAAAATAAGTTTTCATTCTGTTATTTAACAAAATAAGAAGAAAAAGAAAAAAGTGAGAAATTTTAGCTGGGTTTTTATATGAAAATAGTCTCACTTGCCACAACTTTAAATTTCCAGTGTGGTATTCAGGAGATGGTCTTGGTCATGGCGCCTCTTTCTCATTCTTGCCTTGATTTGATTCTTTTCTTTTTCCAGCCTGACCAACTGATCACACAAGTCGTTTTTTTCTTTTACAAGTACAAGTAGCATAAGTTCTTGCCATTGAGGATGTAGAGTACAATGTTCTCCTTGACATACAGTAAATGATGGCGGAGATTTCCAGAGTGCATCAGGCCACATGAACCGTGAATCAAATCCACATAGGGTTGTGTTAGACGCCGCTATGCTCTTCTTGGTGTTTAGTAGCTCTAATTTATCTCTGATACCAGCCGCTTCTTGTCGAATCTCCACTAGTCTCTGTCGATCTTGTCTGTCTGCAAAAGAATGAATACGAAGCTGTCTTTGTCTGGCTAAACAGAATTCAGCGATTGGTATAGAGTGGTTTCGCCGTTTGATTTCAATCCATTCTAACCGAGCTCGTGCAACCTGCAATCCGCATGAATCTGAGCAATATTTTGATAGGTGACCTGAATTGGCTGGCTTAAGGCAGTTGGGATTAGCACACGTAGGCTTCCAAGAGGTCTTTTTACCAGTCACTAACAACATCAGTAAGATAATAAGATACATGTTCACTTACCCTGCCAACAGGTATCACAAAAGTAAAGATCAATAAATTCACTTTCTTTTTCATCAATACCAATACATTCACCATGAAACCAATCATCACATCGGTCACAGGCAATCATGAATTTGGTGGCATCATAACATGTTTGACAAACACAGTACTTCTTTCCATCCACATGCGATTTAGAAGTGGTCTTTTTTTGATCTGCAGAAGTCTTTTTGATAGCAGCTGGTTTCTATGCCATGTTGGTTATAGAAATAGGTAAACCATTTAAATTACCTTTGTTTCATTGGAATGCAGCCAAGCTGCTTTAAATGAATGAATGACTTGTTCAGTTGCCTGTGGCTTTTATTGTCAGTAAAATCATGGAAACCCTAGACCAACTTACTTGGTAGTGAACAGGATTGAATAATGGGTTAATGATTTGATTCTTGTTGGGTGAATAGACGGGTTTGCTTTTAAAATAAGGATATGCTTTCTTTAAGGGCGTCTTTTTAAATGATGACATACTTGCCGAGTGTGAGTTATTAGAAGATCCTGGTGGGTATGTTGATGTCTGATGCCATTGTGTTTCTACATGGTGTTTCTTGAATGTACCTTCCATCGGTGGTCGTTTTCTTAATGGCAAGTGATGAAATGGTTTTGTCTGTAACGCAAGCGGAGAATATGATGATGGTCTTGGAACATTCTTTTCTGACATGACACCTATATTCTCTTCTTTCATTTTAAAAAAGAAATAAGAAATAAGAAATAGCAAGTGTGAAATAGCCAATCAAATAAAGGTATTTTATTATTTTTATTTACAAAGTTTTGACCTTGCCACGGAAATCCTCAAGGGATTTGTACCCCTTAGCAATCATAATATCATTTAATTCCTTCACGATACGAGTAAAGACTTGAGGACCTTCTTCCTTCAAGGTAGTACCGATTTGAACAGCACTGGCACCAGCCAAGACATGAAGGAAGACTTCTTTACCAGAGGTAACACCACCCACACCAATCACTTGCTTATTCTTCAAGCGACGATGAAAAGCATTTACATTAGCCAAAGCTGTGTTCAGGACCATATAGCCACCTAAACCGCCAAATCCATCCTTGGGCTTGATCAAGGCTTGTTCTGTTTCAAAATCAATGGCCAAACCATTACCCACTGAATTAATACAAGTCACAAAAGCCAAGTTATCAAACTTGTTAAAGACAGCAGCAGCAGCATCAAAGTGAGCAATGTCAAAGTAAGGAGGTAGCTTAATACCAAATGGTTTCTTGATCAAAGGAGCCAAGACAGTCAATGCGTTCTCCATAGCTTCGATATCATAACCCAATTGAGGCTTACCAGGTACATTGGGACAAGAGAAATTGATTTCCAATACACAAGGTAAATCAGCAGCGACAAAGGCTTCCACCATCTTGACATTATCAGCCAAACTCAGACCGGAAAGAGAGATAAACAAGGGCTTTTTGTTTTGATAGTCATATTGTTTGGCAAAGTCAAGGTAGTACTCGTAACCTTCGTTAGGGAGACCCATGGAGTTGATACTGCCAATACCGTCGGGCAAAGGCAAGTAGCGAGGTGAAGGGTTGCCTTCACGAGGTTCCAAGGTGGCCGATTTGGTTATCAACGAACCAGAGTCACTGGCAAGCATCAAACCCAAGTCTTCTTTTGTTTGACAACAGACACCAGAAGCATTGAAAAGAAGGTTAGGGAGATGAAGTCCTGCAATGGTGGTTGAAAGATCGGCCATGATATGTTCAAATTTCTTGAATAAAAGATTTGAAGAAGAAACAACAAGATGCTTGCTCTGATGAAGCTTTTATAGCATCTGAACGAGTCACATCTATTCAAAAAAAAAAAAAAAAAAAAAAAAAAAAATTAAAAAACCGAATCTCTTTTTTTTTTTTTTAATTGGTGAAAGACTCGGGCGTTAAATTAGCATTGACACTTCTTGTACACTTTATTGACAATATGACAGGCCAATACCAAATTATGATTGATGCAAAAGGCGGTCATACTCATTATTGGATTTTTCTCTATTTATATTATCTTAAAACAAACATCTCGACAAATTATCAACAAAAAACTGAGCGCGTTTAAGTATCATCTTGGCTCTTGGATCATGACACCTTTGTTGCTGAGTCCGAATGAAAAAAACTGGACTAATTTTTATTTTGGGTCAGTGTATATCTTGATCTTCTAATGGGATAGCAATAGAATGTGTATGTTTCTTGGTCTGATCACTTTTTTTTCTTGGCGGTGATAAAGGTAAATATAGTTCATGAAGGGCTGGGTCTTCGAATGGCTGATATTTCTTAATTGGTTGTAGAGCAATGTCATGTGTGGATGTATCAGGCACAGACATTTGAAAGAAATCGATTGCACTCTCTTGATTCAGGGATCCTTTTCTGGTATGGACGTTAGAAGGCCGCCGAGAAACAAGTGTAGCTATAGAAGGTGCTGTTGATGTAATAGAATTGTTCTTGTCTCGGTGATAGATAGCATCATCATGATCTGGTATCACCGGCAATGGTCCAAATCGAAAGCCACTATCGGACGGATGGTAGAATGTATCAGCAGTAGGTGTGTTTGGCTTTGAGAGGGGGTGAATGGACCGGAAATCACTTGAGGTATGAGAGTCATGGGTGATCATCGTTGTTTGTGCAAATGTGTTTGTGCTACTGATACCACTTTGAAGCGGTTGATTACTATCATCACTGCCTTCATCAGGGTTTAATGCTTCTGGAGACAAGTTATGCTTAGGATGAAATATCAGGATCATACAGAACCATGTAATGACTGCACACATATTAACTAAAACAGATCAGTAAGAACGTAATGTATATGAAAATGGACTTACTATTGCAAATAAAAAAATCTGCCGAAAACTTGTGAATGTTTAACACTTTTCTGTTTGTTAAACCATCACAGCTTAAGATGGTCAAGAGAGTACCATGACCAAATAAGACAGTAGACAAGATCATGTTGACTTCCTGAAAATACCGAATCTTTTGTGAAATGGATCTACCATTTGCTGTATTACGAGAACTGCTCAGCAGTTTTTTGAAACGAAAATGAGAGACAACACCCAAACAAGCCACAATAAACAGTTCTACAAGATGAGTACATTCGTTAAAAAAAAGAAAAGGTACTTACCAATGCCATAAACCATTTCAGGTATGATTTCTTTGTAGGTTGGTTCATAGATTTCCCGAGAAAAATTATATTGTAATAATGGAAAAATAACAAAGCTTGCAAACGTCCATCCAATATAAAACATAAATTCCTTGCTGCTCATGAAACTCTTTTTAGCTACTGAATTGGCAAGATAATTCCAAAAGCATTGTAATAATACAAGTGTTCCTGTCTGTAATGAAAAACCAATGCAAAGACTATATTCTATGGTAGGGATTGAGTGAATTTTGGAAAGACAAAAAAAAAAAGGTTATAGCCTACCAGTAGGAATTACAAGGCTCTTATCTGCTACTGTCCACATCACTTCAGGTTTTGTAAAGATTCGGCCCAGGAGATTAGCAAAACCTTCTTCATATTTGATTTTGACAGATGTGATATCTACACAATAAGTTATACATCACAATCTAACATCAAAACCAAAATTTTACCATAAAACAGTTGAAATGGTATCATGAATAAAATTAACATGGTAACAATACTCTTGAGTTCGCCTTGTTTGAACTTGTTTGGATGAAGACAAGTAAATCTGTCTAATGTCCATACCCGGTATGTGTACCATAGGTACAGATAGCCAAAAGACACCATTCTCTCTATCAACTTTGGTTATTACACGACAAAATATTTGAATTCTCTCTTTACGTAAGAAACTAAAGTCACTCAAATGTGTCATTTTGATAATGAAAAATGTGAAAAAAGAAGAGATGATTCGAGAAAGTCCATCTTCTTTAATACGAGGAGAGGGAAAAAATAGGAGTAAGTAACAACAATGAAGAAAAGGGGGAAAAGCTGTTGTCATTAATAAAGGAGACTGGCGTGTATACAGCTCATGCATCTCCTCTTTTGTTTTTTGTTGTTGTGTTCTTAGGAGACTATTATTCTGTGTAAAGAGGAGTTTTCTTTTTTAAATTGAACTTTAACCCATCATCTTCTAATGTGAGAATTACGCTTACTCATAGTAAAATAATATCAAATACTAATGTTGACATTTTAGCTCAAAGTAATGATGAGATCAATATCGAATTTGATCTGTCAAGGCTCCATTTGGCTAAATTATATCAATTGAAAATTTACTTGTCTCGAACAACCTATGTTTTCTTATCCAAGGTAAGGGCGTATTCTCAAAATGGTTCATATTCCCCTATAGACACAAGTTGTATGGATCAGTTCATTTATTCAAACAAATACGCTTTGTCTTTTTTCGGTTTCTATCGATTCACCTGCATGAATTCGGCTTGTATTTTCGTACAAATGGCAGTCAACGCGTGAATGCTTATTATGCAACTGGTTTTTCCAGGCTCATGTGATTTTTTATGCTAATAAAAAACAGAATTTAATTTTCGTTTTCTTTATTTTTCTCTTTTTCGACCTTTTTTTTTCTTATGTCACAATCAACTTCTTCTGTTCGTTCTGGGTAAAGAATCACTTGAAAAAAAAAAAAAGAAGAGAAATAGGAGCTCATATTATTTATAGCCACGAAATTGACACCAAGTCGTTAGAAAGCTATCTTTTGAAACAAATTCCTGGATTTTCTGTACCTTTGCATATAAGTCAATTTAATCATGGCCAATCCAATCCTACCTATCTCTTAAAGGATAACAAGTAAGTCACATGATCTATGATAGGCAAACTCAACATTAAGAAAAGTCAACAACAGTACGTATTGCGTAAAAAGCCTCCAGGATCTTTAATCTCAAAGACAGCACATGCTGTTGAAAGAGAATACCGCATCATTCGTGCATTAGGTGAAAACACAAATGTACCTGTGCCCAAGGTCTATGCATTATGCGAAGATCACAGCGTGATTGGTACTCCGTTTTATGTGATGGAGTTCCTGAAAGGCAGAATTTTTGACGATATTCAAATGTTGGACATTCCTTCTGAAGAACGCAGATTATGGTAAACAGACAAGTGAGATGATGAAAATCTTACATTTGAGATATAGTTGGTTTTCTGCAGTAGAGACATTAGCCAAGTTACATGCAGTTGATTTCAAAGCTATTGGTTTGTCTGATTATGGCAAAGACAGCGGATTTTATACACGTCAAATGAAATCACTTTTAAACGTGTCAGAAACACAGGCTGCTGTTGTTGATCAAGACACAAAGAAAGCAGTGGGTTCTATTCCTCGATTGAATGAGATGCTTGCTTGGTTTAAGCGTAATCAAGTCAAGGATCAAGCCACGCTTGTTCATGGTGATTTCAAGATTGATAATCTGGTAATGTCGATGTTTATTTGAAACTGTTGTGTTTAATGATGCAGTTAGATTTTCCATCCTACTGAACCTAAGGTTATCGGTATTCTTGATTGGGAACTATCTACTATTGGCCATCCATTATCTGACCTTAGTAATCTCTTGCAGCCTTTTTATATTCCTCGTGAGCATGGACTCGTTGGTTTGAAGGGCATGAAGGAACTACCTATTCCTAATGCAGAAGAGTTAATGCAGTCTTACTGTTCTCAGTTGGACACTGTCCCATATCCTATTCAAAACTGGCCGTTTGCTGTTGCCTTTTCTTTTTTTAGAGTAAGTGTCATCATCTAAATCTTTTATACTAAATCAATTTAAGTTGTCCGTCATTGCCCAAGGTATTGCTGCTCGAGTAGCACGTAAACAAGCATCTTCTGCTAAAGCAAAACTCCACGCTGAAAAGTTTAAGCCTGTTGCTTATTTAGCATTGGAAATAATGGATCAAGGTGACTTGGACAGCAAGAGTAAACTATAAAGTAAGCAGCAGTATTTAAGCTTCTTTGGCGATTACATATTATTTGTTTTATACTAACGGAACGAAACAGCTGATAAAAAAAATTCGCTGTGTTTCATCATACAAAATAAATTTTCATTATTGTATAAAAATACGTAAAAAGATAAAATCATTCCTTTCTTCATTTTTTAAATAAAAAATACACTTATGGATATTGCAGAACTTATTCATGGTGAACGTAAAACAAAAGCACCAAAAGCACCAAAACCTCAAAAAAGACATCCTTGCAAATGGCCAGGTTGTCCAAAAACTTTTGGTAAACAAGAAATAAAGCTTCATTATCTTTGTTTTTAACAGCGTATAGGAAGGCCCTCTGATGCAACTAGACACTATCGAATCCATACTAATGATAGGTATATATAAAAAAAAATTACATCATGTATAGTTTACTTATATTGAACAGACCATTTGAATGTACAGAACCCTTTTGTGGTAAACGATTTATTCAGGTAGAATAGCTTCAGTCTTCCTATGTATATATACATATAATCGTGTTGTAGAGATCAGCCTTAACAGTACACCAACGAACGCATTCTGGAGAGAAACCTCATATTTGTGAAGAGCCAAGTTGTCAAAGGAGTTTTAGTGATAGTAGCTCTTTAGCAAGACATAGGTAAATCAGATAAAAACAACAGAGTTGGATTCATGTCTATTGTTAGGCGCATACACACAGGTAATCGTCCATATAAATGTCAAGAGTGTACACAAAGGTTTGTGTTTCTTTTTTCGCTTGTCTTTTTTTCTTTTTTTTATTCACACCATTTAGAAAGTTACGCCAAAAAAGCACTTTTAGTAAGACATACACGTACTTGTCATCAAGAAAAATAAATTTTAATGGGATTCTTTGTCTTCAAAATACTTTCTCAAAACATCCAATGCTTTTCCACGATGAGAAATGGAGTTTTTGATAGTCTTGTCAAGTTCAGCATAACTTTTTTTTTTTTTTTTTTTTTTTTTTTAAAAAAAAAGATTAGATTGATGTGCATGTATGTCTTAAGCACTTACGTTTGATCATAACCATCAGGTTGGAAAATGGCATCCCAACCAAAAGTACCTGGACCGCGTGCAGCTACAATTTTACCCTTTTTATAAAAGTCTTTAAGTCCTACTTCTTAATTTCTTTCAAACTCACATTAGTTCTGCCTTCAAAAATGACAGGTTCATGACCTGGGCCTTCACAATAGCCAAAGGTACAGAGAGCATAAGCAGATCTATCATCAAAACCATCCAACATTTTGTTAAGACCAGCATGACCAATGCTATCTTGAAACCATTTACTAAACAAGCATGAGTATAAATACAGGTATAGACAGTCTTACATGTAAGGACCAGGCAAACCATTCAAGGCATTGAAACACAAAGCAGTATCTTCTGTGATACAAGGGCCATTCAACTATAGAATTTAATCAGTACAAGTGGTTTTCATATGTCAAAAAAAACGAAATTACAATTTCTGCAGCTATTTTGCATTTTTGTTTAGCAATTTCTTGCGTTTCGCCTTGAAGCTCAGGTACTACATACAAGTGGTTGAGCTTATGTCTAGTTTGGCACGATCTTACAATCAACTTTATGAGATTCAACGTCGATCACGCCTTTAAGAATAGCCTGAACTTCAAGAAGTTTGTTTTTATTTCCCGTAACAAAGACTATAAAGAAGAGTCAGACATAATATTAAATAACCTTATTCTGTACCAAGTTTAGGAAATTCAGGGTTGCTCATAATAAGGAGAAAATGGTGAAGAGTGAAAGAAAAAGCCCCCCTCCTTTTTTTTTCTTAATCAGACTTAGTCCGACTCGAGCGTTTAATAGATTATGCGGCCTTTTGTTATCAAAAGGAAACAAAGATAAAGAAGAGAAACATGTTTGCTATCCAATGTATGACTAAAATAACCCATTAAGGCATTTTACTATACAAAAAAGAATGTAATTAAAACATGTCTTCTATTAAAAAAGAGAAGAGAAAAGACTTTATGGCATTTACTTAAACCCAATGTTAAGAAGAAAAGCACATACGCGTGATTCCGACGCGATTCCCGAATGCTTATTGTGTTTATGATTGTCCGGTTGGTCATGCCTTTTTCTCTTGTGTTTTCATTTTCTTCTCTTTTTTTTTTTTAAAAAAAAAAGTTTGTAACTGCTTTTTTTTTTTCTTTCTTTCTAAAAATTTATATATCTTTTTTTTTTCTTTACAAAAAAAATATGTCACTACGCAATGAGGAATCGCCATGGGCAATACTTGACCCTGCTTTGAAAAAACCAAAATTCTTTGAAGAAAACTCTGAACAAGCAAAACAAAACACCTATTTAGATTATACCTTACCTTTACCAGAAACGAATAAAATAAAAAAAGGTAGAAAGAAAATAAAATTATGCAAAACAATAATAACATAATAGAAGCAATTGATAAAAAAAAAGAATCCGATTTGGTACCAACATTGTTTGAAGAGATTGAAAATGAGCTGATGCATCATCGATATGAGTAAGACAAACTATTTTTTTTTTTCAAAATACTAAAAATGAATTCTAGCATTTATATAGAAAAACTAAATACTTTCAAAAAGCAACTGATATCGATTGAAAAAGGTAAAGAAAAGTTGCTATTATACATACCTTTCACTAACGTTTCAAAACTTAGAAACACATAAAGAAATTATAAAAAGCGACAAAAAAGCACTGGCAAAAGTACAAGAAGATTTAAGCCAAATTGAAGCTTTTTATCAATACCAATTAGATGCACTCGAGCGCGATATTGCGACAGAAAAATCCAATATCTTGCATGAACATAAAAAGTCCTTGGAACTTACTCGAAAAATCATTGCGCTTGAAAAAAATAATATTTCAAATCAGCCTAGTATAAAGAAAAAGAGGCGAAGATCAGAAAGTGAAGAAGGTAAGACAATATACAAAGAACGAACACTTATTTTTTTTATAAAGAACGAAAAAGAAAATGGCATCTTCAACAAGAAATCAGCAAAATGCAGGCCAAACTTGGTCAACCAAAGAAATTTAAAGGGGCTAGACCAGAAGATTCTTTAGATACGATGAACGAAAAAGAACTTGAACATGATTTATTACTTATTAAGCAACAAATTCAACGCCAAAAATAAGCATACAAAGTACTCTTTCTTCATATATATATATATATACATACATACATACATACATACATACATATACCCTTGTTCAATACTATTTTACTCAGTTTTTTTTTTGTTTACTTTTAAGAATAAAATAATACAAACATAGATGATAAGATGAAGTAACAAATACAAAGAGTAATTGAGTAGGAGCTTTGCTTATGATTTTTTTTTTTAAAAAAAATTGAAAAGAAAAAAAACCTGTCTAACTAGAGTAATCGTTTTGATGCACTATTTCAAAATAAAATAAAATAAAATAATGATAATTTGAGTCTCATGAATTTTGTTGTTTTTTCCTGTTTGTTTTTTTTTTAATTGAATCTCAATCATTGGATTGAACAAGAGCTTTATTAATAGATTTTGAATAATGTGCAGCAGCCGTTCCTTTGAATGTTGTGTGCTATCTTTTGACTAGTTTTTTTGAAGGTGCTTGATTCTCTCCATTATCTTCCTCTTCAACGCTTTATTTTTTTTTCTTTTTCATATATCAGTTTTTTTCATCAATAGTCCTTGCCCCCCCCCTCTAAGCCAAATCATTTTTCAAGTAAAGCTATACTCTGGATTTTTATTTCTTAAACTTGAGTGCCCTTTCATAGAGCTTGTTTTTCAAATATCGCTCATAACTAATAATTACCTCAAGAATGATTCTTGAGTTAGCAATCTATTCCATCAGATTTTTTTATGAGACTTCCAATTCCATTTCTAACGATCCTCATGGAAAAAAAGAGGTAATTTGTATTTTAGAACAAAGTGAATTAACTTCGTTTTCTGATACAAGTCACTCGCTTCAATTACGCTTTGGTTCTGCTTTCTTTTGATTGGCCGGAATCTCTTTCTCAACTTTTGTTTAAGGGATTGAATGAATATCTTTTGTTCTTCTCAAATCGCTGCCTTTGATTACCCTTTCAATATTCATTCAATACAAATAAGCTGTTACGTCCTGAAACAGGCCTCATGTCAAAAGTCATCATGCTTTTGAATCCATTTGTTGCTCTTGGTTTATGTCTGACTAGTCAGGCTATTACAATAAATGATACACTTTGGCCCAGATGATCCAACTATTTAATATTTGTACACCTTAGGGTTACAAAGGGATCGAACTCGGCTCGGAGATCAACATGCTGCTGATACTTTAGCACAAGTATTGGAGACCCAAAATGATGAATATTGGAACTTATTGATAAAAATCCATCATCCAGAGTAGTGGCCAAAGCCATCAAGATTTTACAACCTCAAAACCACGGAATAAAAAGGACGTTCACTGACATGAATAATGGTCTTACTAGCATCTCAACAATAACAACAACAAATATCGAAAATATCAACTGTACATCAGAATTCATCACTCCATACGAATGAAGTATGATATTTGTTGAAAATTATAAGCAAATTAGAATACAAAAAAAAAGGCTTGAGCGCATGGATTGGGCAACATGTCATTCAAAAGGTATTGAATTAAATCTGTCTCAATACAAAAGCGCGAAAGTGGCAAGTTTTTTACTTCAATAAGCAACTGTACTAAGCAAAGATGATATGCATTAGACCTCTTCTTTTTATTATAAGCTCTTAGAATTTATCCTATATAAAAGAGTGTTGTTTTTATTAAATACTATGCGATTTATGCATAGTAGGGTTGCCAGCATCTTGCAGCTTTTGTTTCTGATTTTCATCATCAGAAAAAATACATTACAAGTACTGCAAGAGGGTCAAAAGTCCGATGGTTTTAGTATTACTGAAATCAGCATCATTCTGGGAGATAATCATAAAATTTTCAGTCCACATAGTACAGTCCATTATCGCCAATGAGGATCCTGAGAAGTGGACGATAATAATGACTTTACCGGTAATAAAATATGACTACAAAGAATAGCTACATAATGTTGTACTTTATATCGCTCATAAACTTCCAAGCGTTTCCCAATTACTTCCATCACTGAAGATTGTATGGCATTTGACTGAATTCCCAAAAGAATTGTATGCAACTTAGATAAATAAAGGGTAACATGGAAATTGTCAGCCAGTAATTCCGTTGGAGCAAGTATCAGATTGTGGCCAACCTCGTCCAAGTTTGATCAGTGATCAAGTTGATGAAATCCGAATCCTGTGTAATACTTAAAACTAAAAAATAAAGTAAAACAAGTAAGTTCTTTAACAGAAGAATACCTGCTTGCCCCTACTATTCATGATTCACAAGCAGGAAATAAAAAATCAACGATTAAGAAGCAAAGCCACAGCGAAACTGTTCTATACAAACATACATATGCAATATTTAAATACGCATTACACTTTTAACCACCTCTACAAGACAACAAATACGCATTAAATATGTTACTTGTAAAACATGTATTTCTTCTTCTCCATTTAGACAAACCACGACCGATATTGTAAAGCAATTAACAAGTTAGACATGCAAGTCCGCCCAATGGCTCAAAAAACACATATAATCATATAATAACTACTTGTCACTCAAATAACAATGAACATATACAAATGCTTTTGCAATTCTATTTTTCCAAATCACATCATTCTCGTCACTTCGTTTTTTGCTAACTTGATTACAAGTCATTTATCTATAAATACAACAATATTCTACCATTTACCGAAAAAGAAACGCTTTTTTTTATTTGTTTACTCTTGATTACATAATATTCTTAATTTTATCAATAATATGCATCATGGTATCGACTTGTATTCTTTGAAGATCCTGGAAAACCATTAGCTTTCGTAAGTCATATTCATGTATACCTCTGTCGATATTGTGTTCAGTAAACTTTCAAGTGGATTTAGATAATCTTTCTTGATATAACCTCTTTGATCTTGGTTCCATACAGTTGTCTATATTATCAATTAATTTGAATGCTTTTACAAAAATAAGAAAACTTGCCACATTTAAGCGCCGATCAAGATTCAGCAAAAAATAGTAAAAATTCAATGCTTGCATAACATGATTATAATCATCCCAAAATACATTTCCATTCATTTTCCAATCTGATTTAAATTTGAAAATGATAGGAAAGAATCGAGATAGGATGAGTGGACTAGCAAACATGGAAAACGTCTATAAAGTGAGCATCAAATATGACAATATGCAATTACCTTTTCTTGAAATGAACTAGAAACCTGGTCTTTTAATAGACCGATAGCTGCTGTATTCATGGAAGGAAATGGGCATCGTTCAATTAATTCAGCTAAAAGTAAGAACCGAGGTTCATCCGTACAAAACTTGAGGAACTTTTCAATGAGTTTATAAGAACAAAATCGAATCGATTTATCGGGACATGTAGATGCAACAGAAGACAGTACTTGGATGATTTGAGCGACAGGAATTTCACCTGAAGGTCCTTGGATATCTTTGTCCAAATCGTCCATAGTTAACGTTGGCTTGATATGGTCAGCTAAATAAAGCATGACAAAAATACCTTTATCTGTCTGACAAATCAAGTCAGAAGGCCTATTATGTTAATCAGTTATGCATACATATTTTGCTACTAAATATATACCTGAAGACAAGGTTTAATAGCATGCCAATGTATGTCTTTGATACAGAGAAAGCGTTTAGATTATTAGGAAGCAGGCCATACTTCTTTGAAGCAATCAGTTCATCATAGAGCGACAGACTAAATAGAACGGCAATGCCATTAGAACCAAGTGAATATAATCTTGCATTAATCATTTGTCGATCATTTTCCATCATTATGTCCTCTATTATATCTTTTGAGTCAAAGCGATAGAGAAAGAAAACATAAACTATTTTACCTTCAGATTTGTCATTGACTTCAATACTCTTTAGACTTGCTCGAAGCTGATGCAATTTTTCAAATGAGAGCCCTGTATCAACGACAAATTTCTTTATAAAGGACAGTATTAACAGACTGTAGAAATGATAGAAATATAAAACTTACGGTGCAACGTTGAATGATACTAAACAAAAGATAGTCTTCTTGATTGTTTGACTTCTTGGGCTGATGTGCCATCAGGTTGGACGTATTATAAGCAACATGGCATTTATCAAAATAAGCTTTTGATAGCCCCATATCAAGATGAGCCATTATTTTCTCACAGACAAGATGGATTAAGTAAAAAGCAAGATAACGTCGTTTTACATCACCAGATTCTTTCCCTATATCATGACTATCATACTAAACAGAATTAAGCTAGAATTTTTTGCCTTACAAAACTTACTGGAAAATCTACCAAACTTTCAGAGACTGTTTTTGTGTTCAAGAACTGAATAAAATCCAAGCAATTGTGTGTAAAGAGCAAGATAATCTGATTCCATTCGGGAATAGACTTTTCAACAAGGACAGTTTCTATCCATTGCATCGTTTTTACATAATAATTAGCCAAAAAAGGTATGAAAAGCATCCAATCTCTTGCTCTTGTCATCTTTTCCAGTCCTGTATATTATCTTAGCACCTTTTTGATGATTTTTTGTTCGTTACCTTTGCCAAAGAGTTCTACATAAGCAGCTGATAAACGGGTCGTTTGATAACGAGTATCTTGAGATTCCCAGGATATACAAATTAATTGATCCATCATACTTTCAACAAGCTCATCCGGATCAATTTGATCCGCAAGACGGAGTTGAGCGCAATACGCTTTCGCTTGAATGTCTGTATTTACATGATTTAAAAGTGGGAACAGTTCATGGATAAGGTTCAGTCCAGAACTCAATGCTTTCTGTGACAAAATTCAATAAAAATCCAACATAAATTTTTACGCCTACATGCAATAAAAACTGATTTATTTGATCTAGTCGAGCTGAAAGCGCGTTTTCGGAGAGTCCTGTTAGAGTTGTGTCTTTTAGATCGTCAACAGGCGTGTCAAACTGAGAGAAGAGAAACAGAGAAAGTTAGTTTATCAAGCGTAAAGCCGCATTTATACCTTATTTTTTTCAGGGATATGGCTGACAAGATATTGGCTATTAGAACAAAAGAAACTATCCATCATCAAGAAGTGTTGTATAATCACCGAACTCGAGGACAGATATTTCGGATGTACTGAATTGGGTGTACCCGGGGCTTGAAGTAAAGCTCAAGAAAAGCAGTCTAGGGTCTACTGGATATACTATTTCAATTTTTATTCTGCTTTAGTTCCCTTACTTTTAAGCAGACTCAATAAGTGAAAGACTATTATTCTCAAAGAAATAATGAATCTTCTTGTCACAAACAACGGTGATGTTTCTTGCAACAACTACTTGCTTTGAATATTCATTACCATTATTGACTTCCCCAAGCAGTTCACAAGTGTTACAAAGATTATCCATCTTGCTGATCTTTTGCGTAACAGGAAGAAAGAGATTATTTGTAGGAAACCAAGTAGAACGTTCTAGCATTCTAGGGATGATAGAATCCTAAAAACTTTTTAGAAGTCTGTATACACTTGCTAGTCTCTGCTTTTTTTTTATTTATTTTTTTCCTGATTAATCTTTGATCTCAGACTGACATCCTTTAATTGAATTTATTAAACTAGTTTACATATAAAATACACTCCACAAATCGCATATGGTACAGAGAGCAGTGATGATATTATCTGTGCCAGGCTCGAGACTATATTCTATAGGACCCTGACAATGATTTGCATGATGTGTCTCTGCTTGAATCATATCATGCAAGCACTTTTCTGTCGCATAAAATCCACATTGGGGACAAGAAGCTAGGTTCTGGTTTAGGATGAGGGCAGCTTTTTTACAATTCAGACAGATCACTGCATCCTTGGACGCTTCGTAAAATGCCAGAGCGCTTTCTAGTTCTTCTTGCTCTTCTTCAAATAATTGTGCTTCTTGCTGTAAGCTTTCTTCTATTAGACTATCGATATCTACAATGCCTTCTTTTAGCATCGATTCTTCATGTCCTTGCTTAATTCTTTCTTTTTCTGCAATAACAATTTTGCTCATCCACTTTGATAGATACCAGTTAGTTTATGTATGCATACTCTTGTACGTGCCTGCTCTTCTCGTAATCTGCTAATCTTGTCTTGCCTGGCTAATTTAATTCGATCTGTACATTCTTGTTGAATCTTGTCACGCCATCGACGCCTTGTTTCTGTTGTCGCTGTGTTTTTCACTGGTGTTCGAAATGAATTCATGACAAAAAAAAGTATGAAAGAAAGATGAGCTCTTTTGATCAAACGCGTTTGTAACGAAAAAAAATTTCCTTTTTTTTACTGTTTACAATCATTATGGCGGATGCATATTCTAAACAAGCACTTTATGACCTGCTACAGAAAGAACTTTCTGAATTAGACAAGAACATGAAGGCTTTAACAAACAATATCAAACCATTATCAAAGACAGCACCTGCTATTCGTGAGACAGGCAAGATTCATACTGCCATGTAGATATTTGCAATGATCTTTTTCTTTTTTTTTGTCTAATCTCGTTATGAATTTAGGCTCATGTCTACAAGATCTGTACTAAATAACCCCAATAAAGACAATGAACAAACTGAGCAATAATATACATATGTTTTTTGAATAAAAGTTTCTTACTTGCACATAAATCCCTCTCTATGCACTCTAATCAATATAATATATAGCTTTCTTATATTTCTAGGATTTATTCTAGCATTAGCTATCTACTTTGAATGTCTTTTGCTCATCAAGAGTCAGCGTAGAGGAACATAGCAGCAGCTTCCTTTGCTATCTTGAAGCTGATTTTTAATTGTTTACGTAATCGAACTGTGGCGGTCATTCAATTGTATGGCTGGGAAGGATATTGTCAACAGCAAATTGTAATGGTTGAAACCTCCCTTTTTCGCCAACATGGTAATGCAATAAAATGAAAAACTAGTCAAACAAAGAGAGAGAGAAAAAGCGATGATGAAGTAGCTATTGATTGTCATGTTGAATGGATGGATGGATGCATTTGAAACGTTGAATGGATGTATCGATATTAGACAAACATTGCGGGATGAAAGAATGAATCATGGCTTTCAATGCAACATGTTCATTTGCTCATCAACTACATGCTTTATTCTTTTTCTCTTTTTTAACTCGTTTTTCTCTTTCTCTTGAGTCCTGTATTAACATACTTTCTATAGTCTCTCGTTGTTCCTGAAAGAACTACTTTCCAACACATTATCCGTCTTCTTAACACCAACGTTGACGGTCGTGTCAAGATCCAAATTGCCTTGACTTCCATCAAGGGTGTTGGTCGTCGTTTCGCCAACATTGCCTGTAAGAAGGCTGATGTCGATCTCACCAAGAGAGCTGGTGAACTTTCTTCTGAAGAATTGGAACGTATTGTTACCATCCTTCAAAACCCTGCTCAATACAAGATCCCTAACTGGTTCCTTAACAGACAAAAGGATATTGTTGATGGCAAGTCCACTCAAGTTATCTCCAACGTTCTTGACACCAAGTACCGTGAAGATCTTGAACGTTTGAAGAAGATCCGTAACCACCGTGGTCTCCGTCACTACTGGGGTATCCGTGTCCGTGGTCAACACACCAAGACCACTGGTCGTCGTGGTCGTACTGTTGGTGTCTCCAAGAAGAAATAAGCTATTGTAAGTTTTTATATTGTTTGTATACATATATATTGACTTTACATAGTCATAGTTAGAGACATTTCTTGTTTAATGATTAAACTTTCTTTTAAAAAAAAACTATGTCTTTATTATTTATCATTGCTGTTAAACTAAAACTGCTGAAGCAGCTTGTCGAGCAAGTTCCAAAAGTTGATCAATCTCTTGTCTCAAATGGAACATTTCGTATTGTTTAGCTGGTGTTGTAACTGCTCTGGCACAGACTGCAGCTGCCGTCAAGTAGTCAACACGTACATTCATATCAATATCACCACTACATGAAAAAAAAGAGAGTATGAGTCTCTATCGGTCGTAGTGTTATACTTACGCAGCTCTTCCTAATGCTATATAACTATGAGCTGCTTCTTCGTATTTTTCATTTCTTCTATAATAATCAGCAAGTAAGCGAAGACGATCAAAAGAACATGGTTTACGGTTCAAAAACTCTTCGAGATAAGGTGGCGATTCCTATATATAATTAAGAATAAGGATCTACATTTTTCCTCCTTAGTTCTTACCTTGATCAAATCTTGTCCCATTTGGTTTTCTATAAACTTTTCGTACATGTAGAAATGGAAAGCCTTATCTCTATAGTTGAATACAGCATTTAGGATGTCTTTACGATGAGTTTCACGCTCATTGTTTTTCAAAACAACATCGCAAACAAGCTTGAACACAATGTCATAAAAGGGTTTCTTGGCTTTAAATAACAATGCTCTGGGATCATGAGGAGGACATCCTGCTTCAACAAAACCAGTTGTGTCATGGTGTGGGTCACGAGCCTTGATGCACTCAAGAGCTAAACGAGTACCATAAAGGTGGTTTCCTTGACTAGCAAATTCATCTGCAATTTCGGTTGCCTTGTCAGCAGGAATACTAGAGGCAATCTTGGTCAACATCATAAACGAATCGTTCAAAAGAGCTCTGGCTTGAAGGGTATTGGTAGCAGTACGGGCAGAATAGATTTGACTGGCTGCCTTATACAAAAGAACATCAGAAGCACCACAGAAGGAGCCACAGTGTTGAGTAAGGACGTCAACCACATAGGATGAATTATCGTAGCGATTGAAACTAAATTGGATCAAAGCAGACAATAAATCATGGGTAAGAGAACGACCTTCAGATGTGGTCAATAGAGTCTTGAGATCTTGTTGTAATAAGTGTTGTTGAGAGTCAGGCTTCATGAGTTGAACGACAGAAGAGATACCAGTTTCAATCAAGTAGATAAAGAAGGAAAGAGCATCTGCCAAGTAAGAGATTAATTCTCTCAAGTTATTGAAGGATCTCGCTTCAGGAGAATCTGTTGTCTTGGGGAACAAGTCAGGGTGTTGATCCATAAAGCTCATAAGGTTCTTGAGTCCATTCTGCGTATTTTTTAATTGATCAATAGAGACTGTGCTTGAATAGACCTTGTTGACATCTTGTTGAACCAATTGCTTTGTCCAGATGGGCTGAACAAGACGATAGATAAACAAAGCCAAACCATCGTGTCTACTGGTATATTGGTGTTCATTCATTTGATTCAAGAGGGAAGGCACTTGACCAAATCGATCCAACAAGACCTTAGCACCTTGAGCTACTGATGTTGCCACAGAATCGGGACTATAGAGCTTGACAGAGTTGGGCAAGACAGGCATATTGGATGAAATCAGATTGTAACAGAGAGTAGAGCAATTGACATAACCAAAATGACTAAAGAAATGCTCAAATTCAGGTAAACGATACACAATGTCATTTCCAGCCAAAGACAATAAATTAGAAAGCATATCAACAGGCCTTTGTTTGGCAAGCACATAGACACCAGAAGTCGTGAGTATAAAGAAGTAACGTGTAGGAGCATAGTAAGGTACGATAGTCATGTCATTGATGGTCTGTGTTCCTTCGGGTGATTCCGAAATAGAGAGTACCTTGCCATGAATATCAATTGTATCGTGGAATTCAGCCAGCGACATGTTGGAAGCAGGTGAGATACAGTTTGACAAGTTGCCCAAATCAGGAGAATAGATGATAATCTTGTCTTGTGTGGCACTAGCATGTTGGTTCTGGACAAACATAAAGAGTGCATTGTTATAAACGGGATGATGAATATTATCTGCTGTAGACATGCTCTTTTCTGGAGATCGAACATGTGTGATAACAAGGTTGTTAGGTGGAGCATCATATATCAAATGCTGTGATTCTGTGTGGTGACTGAAATAAATTCTTAGACCAGAATTAGTGATAGCAACAAGATGATAAGACGTAGATTCAAGTGCTGTTGTAGGCTGAATAGAGACAATCTTGAAGTCTTTGCCTGTGAGATAATGCGTGCTAGGACAAGCCATTTTAGCAGTCTGAAGGACATCTGTCTTTCTATAGACTGTGTTAAATGTGTATCCGTCATTGCCGAGATATGTAACATAAATTGATGAGCTGGCTGTGAGTTGATACAATACAGTGCCACTTTCATTGACTGCAAGTTGTACAATAGGATCTTTTGCAAATCCTCCAAACAAAAATGAAAGGCCACTTCCAGGTGTATGAATTTTCTTTGTACATTTACCAGTAAACCAACCTTCTTGACTCTACATCACAGTATGAGTTTGTCTATCGCAAATCAAATGGCACTTACTCTATAGTCCAACTCCCAAACATTGCCATCATCGCCTAGCATGAATATGCGACCTTGTTCTGTACCCACAATGGCATTTATATTAACGCCGGATGAGCTAGTTATCATGTCTGTTGCAAACACTTCAAGACCAGTGACGGAATTGTATTTAAGTGCAATGATTTTGATTTCTCTGACTGTAGAAATAATCAACAATTGCTTGATTTCTTCTTTAAACACTTGAGGTTTGGGTTTCACAAATCCAATACCAACAATTGCATCTTCTTCTTCATGGATAACTAGATCTCGACTAAAATACATTAATGACAGCTCTCTCTTTTAAGTATATTGCTACCTTTCAGCAAAATCCCATAAATAAAGTTGGTTTTTTACAACAAAGTAAGCTCTGTTTATAAAATTAGCGAATCCGGAAGGATTGTTTGGTTCAACTAGTAGTCGTTAGTTCATGAATAATTTGATATTATATCTATTTACATTGTTTTATAGCTTCAAGACCGGCATTAGGCATAGTAATACTCTTTTTTAATACGATTGGTTTGACTGGAGCGGCTTGAGCAGAAATATACTGAGGTGGGTCTATTGTCTTGTTTTAGTCATTTTTTATATTATCTTTTTTTTTTTTACCTGTAAAGGTTTTTCGTAAGTCTGGAAAGTTACGATCCAAAACACCTCTTATTTCGAGAGTTAAGGCTGCTTCACGAACAGTATTTGATGTCTTTTCAGGGCTCGTGTTTTCCATTATTTAGTTATGAAAAGAGAAAGAAAAAAAAGAAAAGGAAAAAGACGCGCTTAGTTAGCAGGACGCCTTCTGTTTGTCTTTCGCTTTTTTTTCACATTTTTTTTAATTGTCAGTCACAATTGAATTCGGTTGAACACATCAATGCATATACTCAATTACCAAAGAGCGTATCAAATCATTTAGTAAAAGATTAAGGCTGTACTTGAGGAGCTCTTTAAGAATTTTATTCTTGTTTTTTTTTCTCTTTTGTCTATGCATGTCTTGAAATAAAAAAAATAAAAAAATAAAAAGAAACAAGCAAAGACGCGAACACAAATAATACATAGCGGACTTTTTATACGTTTCTGCTTGAACGAAACTTCTCTCTCCTCCTCCCCCCCCCCTTCTTTTTTTTTTCCTCTCTTTCTCTTTTCAAACAGAATATGGCACCAAACCCAACTTCAGACTGGACAGAACTTCACGTAAGTTTAATACTTTATTCTCGGGACAAGACTGTTTATTGTTTTATTTGAACAATAGGACCGTTTTTATAGGTAAAAACTTTACTCAAGACAAGAGGGTTTCATCTCATTTTGTTCTAGAAAGCAAGAAGTATACTCTTTGTCTTGGAACCAAACAGACCTTTCCAAGTTTATGATAGCAGGTGCACAATATGGTGGACCTATAGGTAAAGAAGTAGATATAATGTATGCACAGTCTATTAATACATATTTGTATTTAGCCATGATTCGAGACGATAAAAAAGTGCTATTGTTACAGAAACAACAACCAATCAAACCAACTATTTACATGTATACAAGTGCTGGTAAATTGATCGAGCAAATCCAGGTAGATTTATAAATACATGAAAGAAAAAAAAGGCTGATAGAGACCAGTGGGACAAAGGACGCATTGTAGCATTAGGTTGGACAGATCAGGAACAACTTGTGGTTGTTATAGATGATGGATCTGTTAGATTGTATACGCTTCATGGAAATCATACACAATTCTCTTTAGGAAAGGTATGTCTCGATTGTCTTGAGAGCACGTATTTATTTGCTAGGATGCTAAAAACGACGGTATCATTGATTGTCAAATTTGGGGAGGAGGTCTAGTAGCCATGACTGGAAAATACCAACTTATTTCAGTCACTAATTTCGAAGAACCACAGCCAAAGCCATTAGCTGAATTAAGACTCGAAGAACCTTTGCACAGTTGGACTGTTGTCCCACCTCAATTTACTCTAAGTCGTCATGTAGAAGTATTGATTGCCACTGGCAGTACGATTTTGGTGGTTGACAGTAAAGAAGTGACAGATCAACATTTAAATCAAGGCCCTTTTACTAAAATGGTCGTCTCTCCTAATGGCAAATTCCTCGCCTTGTTCACATCAGATGGTAAACTATGGGTGGTGTCTACTGATTTCCAAAAGAACTTGTCTGAATATGCTACCAAATCAAAGATTGCACCCCAACAATTAGTATGGTGTGGTACTGATTCTGTTGTATTATATTGGGAAAAGATTGTATTGATGGTAGGTCCTTTTGGTGATTGGATAAAGTACACCTATGAGGACCCTATTTATCTTGCTTCAGAAATTGATGGTGTACGTATCATCAGCAACGATAAATGCGAATTATTACAAAAAGTACCAGGTAAAAAAAAAAGAAAAGAAAGAAAGAAAGTGCCTGTCAGTATTGACATTTTCGTAGCATGCACTGAAAAGATCTTCAAAATTGGTTCTACTGAACCACCTGCTATGCTTTTCGATGCATTGGATCATTACGAAGTAAGCCAGTCTTCCATTTGTTTTTTATAGCTAACGCGATGTAGCGTAAAAGTCCAAAGGCAGATGAAAATATCCGTAGCATCAAAGCAGAGTTAATTGATGCTGTGGATAGCTGTATTGAAGCTGCAGGCTTTGAATTCAATCATTACTATCAGCGTTCCCTTTTGAAAGCAGCTTCATTCGGTAAATGCTTCTTGGAAAATTATAATGCCAATAGTTTTGTGGACATGGCACAAAGTATTCGTGTTCTGAATGCTGTACGATATCACGATATTGGTATTCCTTTGACTTACGCACAGTACTGTATACAATCAATAGTGATTAAAATATTGACAACACATTAGATACAAACGCTCGAGTCCTGAAGTATTGATTGATCGCCTTATTAATCGTAATCATCATTTACTTGCTATTCGTATTGCTGAATACCTTAAACTTCGAACAGACAAGATTTTGATCCATTGGGCATGTGAAAAGATCAAGACAACGACTGAAGATGAAGATACTGTGTGCCGTACCATTGTTGAAAAACTTATCAAAACACCTGGTTTGTCTTATGCCGAAATTGCAAAGACCGCACACGATGCAGGCCAGACTCGTTTAGCTACAAAATTACTTGACTATGAACCAAGAGCTGCTGATCAAGTTCCCTTGCTGATTTCAATGCAAGAAGACGAAACAGCCTTGATCAAGGCCATTGAGAGTGGAGATACTGATTTGGTCTATTTGGTTATTTTCCACTTGAAGCGTAAATTACCCCTGGGTGAATTCTTTAGAATGATCAACAACAAACCTATGGCTTGCAATTTGCTTGAAGTGTATTGCAAAGAACAAGATACTGAGCTCTTGAAAGATTTCTACTATCAAGATGATCGAAGAGTTGATAGTGCTAATATTGTATTGTCTGAAGGCTTTAACGAGATGGTATGTTTCTATTTATGAATGCAATATATTGATTTTTAATGAACAGGATATTGCTGAGCGTATGAAAAAGCTTAAAATAGCCGGTAAAATTTACAATGAACATCGTGAATTAGCATTTGAAGCAAAGGTAACAAAAAAGAAGTCATATATATATATATGTGTGTGTGTGTGTATATAGACTTAGAACATCCATAGGCTGTAGATGAAGCAATCCGATTACTTCAGTTTCAACTCATACTTGAAAAAGATACCCAGCAGTCTTTCACCGGTCTTTCTACTAGTGAAACTATATATAAATGTACAACACTTGGTCAACACAATAAGGCTAGCAAGATTAAGACGGACTTTAAGATTCCAGACAAGAGGTAAACAGAAAAAGAAAAAAAAAAAGTAGGTTGTACTGACATTGATAGATTTTGGTGGATTAAACTTCGTGCTTTGGTGGAAGTCAGAGACTGGGAAAACCTAGAGAAACTTGCCAAGAGCAAGAAATCACCTATTGGCTATGAGGTATATATATTTATATTTAGAAAGTATTTATATTTATTCCATATTTCGTAGCCATTTGTTGAAGAATGCATTAAGGCTAGACAATATCAAGAAGCTTCAAAGTATATCTTGAAATGTGAGCCCCCTGTTCGACCTATGCTTTTTATTAAGATTGGTGCATTTAAAGAAGCAGGCGAGCAAGCCTATTTGAACAAGGATATTGAAGGATTAAGGTAAACAAACATCATCTAATCTGGCTCTAATTTAATGATTAGGGAGGTTCGAGCAAAATGTACAAATCATCTTGTTGCCCAAGAACTTGATTCACTTTTAGCACAGCTCAATGCTAAATAAAGATTCCGAATTTATCGGGTAATAATAATAATAATAATAATAAACTTCTTGGTACACTTTATTGGGAAAAAAAGGTGTCATACAATAAATTTCTCTACCCAAAAGTCAATGTTGATGTATTTATGTGAATATTATGTAAACTAAATGTTTATCACAACACGTTTGTTCAAGAATAAAAAAAAAAATCATGCTGTTACACTAACCAGAGTTTCCTGCAAAATAAGCCCTCCTGCTGATGTGTTGAGTCTTAAATGGTAAAAGTGACACCTGTTTCTTCACTTTCTTTTCTTCTTTTCTTCTTTATTATTTCTTAAAGTATGAACACTTTAGTCATAGTTTTGATATGTATAGTAGCTGCTTGTTTTGTTCATAGAGACAGCTACTTCAGTCAATTCTTTAAGGTCCTATTTCACCACTGGAGTAATATAGTCAAGGTAAGAAAATACGATATTTATATCATACTCATTCTTTGCCAAAGTCTATTTTATCTTTATCTCTATCAACAAAAGAACAATCAATATTCGAAGAAGAATTTAAATATTTGATTGTTACATCCTCTCTTTTCAATCAAACTCCACAGCTTGAGCAACCAGTCCATCATAAAGCAACAGAGTCTATACTCAGCGATATCAAAGCAAGACCCAAACAAGACAAATTTTCACAAAAAGATTTAATTGTCCTTATTGCTGGCATGAGTATCACCTGTGCTATATTAAGTGTGATATTAAGAAAGCACAATTTACTGTTACTCTTGTTTGGCTTGGTGATGGCCTATATGTCCTCTTGCTACTTTTCATATCGTCATTATGTATGTCATTTTGAATCAGAATGCTATTTAACCCTTTGTTATGTATATTAGAGACATATTCAGATCAGAAGAATTCATGTCTCAGCACTAGATTCTATGCACGAAATTATTGCATTGTCTAAAGAAAGCGACGCTCTCCTCATTCGTTTATTAAAGACATTTCATTCTCACCAACACGAGGAGCAACAACAAACATTCGGCACATTACTATCTTCTCATTTCGAGACATATATTGAAACTGTACAACAATTAAAGCCCTTGATTGATTCTCATAATTTATCTCGTCTAAGAGATATGTACAACATTAACAAAGAAATTCCGTCAATCTTGCTCGAATTTGAGTCTCATCAATATAGCATGGAAGATATTGACTTAATCTATTCAGTCATTGGTTGGAAAAGGCGGGAGTATTTACTATATTTACTGGCTTTAGATGTCATGTCAAACAATAGAGCAACACATTATGGAAAGAATTGGAGACAAGCTATTCAAGTCAACAAAGGTCTCGTAAATGAATACAATGAATTCAACAAAAAACTTCTTGATCTCTCTATGATGGTCGATAACGGTAAGTAATGCATGACTTGAGTCTTTCAAGCTAACGTTCATAAAACAATAGATCATCCAATGAAAGATGAACGCCCAAGATCTGTTTCTTCTGTTTCCACTTTGTCAGATGATACAACAGATGGCATGTCAGATGAAAGAACACTTACTTTGATGCATAGAGTATCTGCACTTGAAAAATACGTCGAAGATATACAAGCCGAACTGTTCTTATGCAAACAAGATACAAGATCATTAGCATCGGGTCGAGGTAAATATCAATTCTTTTGTATATGTATTAATCTTTTGTATAGTGTCTGTATTCAGCTTAGAGAGGATAAGCAAGCGCTTTAACCATATTGATGAAAACATGTCTAACCTAGCCAGTCAATGGGAAGAAGGCAAACAATCGTTAAACGTACTTTTAGAACATGAACAGCTCAAATTGAAAACTACACTTTCATCATTACCTTCGCCGCCCATCTCACCTATAAAAGAATCATCTAATAATCAAGAAGATCATGACACGAACTCATCATTAGCTGCTCAATTAAACCGATGCCGCAGTTTTAACGTCGGGAAGCGAAGACCACTCAGCCAAACTCGATTACAACGAGTTCAATCTCTCAAAACCAAAAATAGCAATAGACGATCAACTCTTCCCTCTAATCTATAGTTAGATAATATACCTTTTTGTAACATTGGAATATATATATATAGAATTAAATAGCTACACTTTAAAAACGCTTTGTTTGTTTATTTGAATTGAATGAAACAATGGCTCCCTCTATAGTTTTGGTTTTTTTTTTTCTTTTTCTGAAATTTTCATAGAATGAAGAAGATACGAAAAAGAATTTCCCGGGCAAAATTTGAAAATATAGCATATTTAGCATTGAACGTATTTAATATGATTACATTTTCTATGGTCTTTGCTGCTTCTATCACAAAAGCAAATCAAAGTCGCTTATCAGAAATCATTCAAGCTATTTATTGCACGTAAATATACGTAGGAAGTTTTATATACATACTCATGTAGTGTTAGGACAATAAGTTTCCTCTTAATCTTGAACGAGTTTCTCTCACTCCCATGGATGCATTTCTATTTTGGCTTCTTGAGTATTCATCGAGGTAAAGGTATACTTATGCTATTGTAAGTACATGAAATCAATTCGAGATGACATTGACAAATTTTGGGATAGCCTTGGATGCTTAGTCATATGTGATCTTGCATTTAATATCATTGTGACCATATTGGCATTTACTACAGGCTTTACACATCTTTTACTATCGCTTGTGCCTACAATACCACCACCCAATTGTTTTCTTGTGCATTGGCAAAATCACAATGATTTTTGGGCTGAAGGACTTGATTTAGCGATACCTCCTACCGTTCCTACTATTACCACAACTACATTTGAATCAAACGCTAACATGCTACATAACACTGTGCCTTTACTTCAATTTCCTCATCCATCTGCGTGGCATCCTCCGTCTTCTAAAATAGCATCTAATTCAGCGCATTCGTTTTTAACATCAACATTTAATATAGACTGTACACAATACAATGGTAATAATCATCATCTTCGTGTATCATATTAGTATAAGCAAAGCAACCAGGCTTTTATACCATCTCTTAAAATAAAGTGTGTTTATTCAAATGAATCAAGTACTTGATCAATGATGTACGTTTTTTTGTATACTAAACATGTCGGGTTCTCAAAAGCCTTGTTCTAAGGCCACAGGGGATTGTTTTTTTTTTGTCAACATATGTCATGACAGAAAGCAGCAAATTACGATTTTGTGAAAACCTTGAAAACCGTCGATCTATAGTAAGGGAAAAACAACGATTTTGCTTCAATTTCAAAAGTTTGTATGTTCCCTGATGTATATTTTGATATGACACATCTTTAAAAAAAATAGCAAATTTGAGTCGCCTTGAAAATGTTCTGGGCAAAAGGTGGCTTCAAATATGTGTCATGACTAGAATGTTTGAGGATGAATGCTTCCGTGACGATTTACAATTGTAGGCATAGAAAAGAAACTTGAAAAATAAGAGATTTGCATTTAAATTAAATTAGGTGCATTCAATGGCGTCATTGTATTTCTTACTGCAAATGTCAAAATGCTGTTATTAAAAGTTGTATTAAGGCAACGAAAGCTTTTTTTTTAGCATGAATTCCGTCTTGATCAATTGAAATCAACAGAACCTGCATAGATAAGTCTGTGCTTTTAAGTTAGTTATAATGAAATTTATCTTACTATTTTTTAGAGAATATCTTGGTAAATACATGTCGATATATTCCCTTAAGATACGTTGCTAGTACGTGTTGTAGTATTAACAGGCCTTTTTGTTTCTCTCTTGGTAGCTAAAAGAATTCTGAAACTATTTTGACAGAGATTTGTGAAACCGACAAACGATGTCCTGTTTCATAACAAACTATACAATGTCCCTGAGCAGTTTTGCTGTATTGCTTTCAACAATATCGCAACAGAAACTCTTCTTGTTATCAACTCCATCTACTGACAGGTATAATGCAATGAAGAATTTTCACTTGATTTATGTCGAGATTATATACTCAGAAAATATCAGATAAACAACATCATCATTTGGTCAATTTTCCAGCTGCTTCCAGAAGGTTGTGATACCATCATGATAAAAATCAAATCCCTATCTGTTTAATACTTTATACACGTTGATCAATAGCACACAATGAACGAATCACATGATATTATTGAACAAGCCAATGCCCTTTACTCCCTTTTTCTCTCTTCCTTTTCCCAACAAAATAATAAACAAAAATCAAATACGTAATAATATCGTCAATGCAGAATTTTTTTGAGTGCCGATATGTACCCTCCTTTTTTACTTAAGTTGAAACGCAGATTTTTTTTATTTATATCAAATGATACAACCACTTTTTATTTTTTGTTCTTTCTTTTTCTCTCTTTTGTTTTTTACATTTCTTTTTCTTTATTAACGTGTACATGGCTTCTTCAGATAACAAAAACTTGAGACTCTTGGTTGTCTCTAACAGATTGCCTGTAACTGTCAACAAGGACCAAAAGACAGGTGAATATGACTTCAAGATGTCTTCTGGTGGTTTGGTTGCTGCCCTTAGTGGTCTTAAGAAGATGATGTCCTTTACATGGATTGGTTGGCCAGGTAAATTAAATATGTCTTGATGATTAGATTACTTATAAAATGAATTAAGGCTTGGATGTTCCGAGTGAAGATAAAAAAGTCCTTGAAGAAAGATTATTGAATGAAACTTCTACTATGCCTGTCTTTGTTGATCATGAATTGGCTGATCTGCATTACAATGGTTTCTCTAACAGGTAAGAACACATGGATCACAACCCATCTAATTCAGTGTATCAGTATTCTCTGGCCTCTTTTCCACTATCACCCAGGAGAAATCTCTTTCAATGAAGAATGGTGGGAAGGCTACCAAAAAGTAAACCAGTTGTTTGCTGAAGCCATTGATAAGATTGTTCAAGATGGTGATCTTGTTTGGATTCAAGATTACCACTTGATGCTCTTGCCTGCCATGTTGAGAAAACTCACCAAGAAGAACATCAAGATTGGTTGGTTCTTGCACACACCTTTCCCCAGTAGTGAAATTTACAGGTAATTTTATTTTAGCGCATGATATATCTATTTTTGGGCCTATCTCTTACAGATCTTTGTGTTTCTAGAATCCTACCTGTTCGTAAAGAAATCTTATTGGGTGTTCTTGAGAGTGACCTTTTGGGTTTCCATACTTATGACTATGCTCGTCATTTCTTGTCCTCTTGTACACGTATCTTGGGTCTCTCTACTATGCCTAATGGTGTAGAGTTTGAAGGTCGATATATTCATGTTGGCACTTTCCCTATCGGTATTGATCCTGAAAAGTTCTCAGACGCACTCAAGGAAGATAAGATCCAAAACCGCATTCAACAACTCAAGAACAGATTCGGCGACTGCAAAGTGATTGTCGGTGTTGATCGTCTTGATTATATCAAGGGTGTACCTCAAAAGATGCATGCTATGGAAGTGTTCTTGAGTCAGCATCCTGAATGGGTAGGTAAGGTCGTACTTGTGCAATTGGCCATTCCTTCTCGTGAAGATGTGGAAGAATATCAGCAGTTGAGAAGCACTATCAATGAACTTGTGGGTCGTATCAACGGCCAATATGGTACTGTTGAATTTGTGCCTATTCACTTTATGCATCGTTCTATTCCTTTTGACGAACTGGTTGCTCTTTACGCGGCTGCTGATGTCTGCCTTGTTTCTTCTACTCGCGATGGTATGAACTTGGTATCCTATGAATACATTTCTTCTCAACAAGACAAACATGGCGTCTTGATCTTGTCTGAATTTGCTGGTGCTGCTCAATCCCTGAATGGTTCTATTATTGTCAACCCCTGGAACACAGAAGAACTCGCTAATGCTATTCATGAAGCCGTCACTATGCCAGAAGACATCCGTAAAGCCAACCATCAAAAGTTGTATCGTTATGTCACAAAATACACAGCTGCTTATTGGGGTGTTAGCTTCGTGAACGAATTAAGACGTGTCAGCGAAGAATTTGGTCAACGTATGTCTATTCCTCGACTCGACTCTTCTGCTGTCATTGCTAAAGCCAAGGCTGCCAATAAAAAGAAGCTTGTCTTGCTTGATTATGACGGTACACTTACCACTACACACAAATTACCTGAATTTGCGAAACCCTCTCAAACTGTCTTGGGTCACCTCAAGACACTTGCCTCTCAACCAGACACTTATGTCTACATCTTATCAGGTCGCTCTCGTCACCACTTGGACAGCTGGTTTGAATCCACAGGTGCCGGTCTCTCTGCTGAACATGGTTGCTTCTATAAACACCCTGCTAGTATTCGCGATAAAATCAATCCTGTTGCTGCTTCTACTGAAGGTAAACTCATCAAGGAAGAAGATAACAAGTGGTACTGTCTTGTAGAACAAGTCGATCCTAGCTGGAAAGAAACCATTCGTCCTCTCTTCCAACACTACACAGAACGTACACCTGGTTCTTTTATTGAAGAAAAGGAAATCAACTTGACTTGGCATTATAGAAACGCAGATCCTGAATTTGGTTCTTGGCAAGCTACAGAATTGCAAGTCAACTTGGAAAAGTTACTGAGTCATATGGCACTCTCCATTGTGCTTGGTAACAAGACTTTGGAACTTCGTCCTTCATCTATTGACAAGTCAACAGCTGTTCGTAATATTCTCAAGGATTTGGATCTTGCCAGTGTTGATTTCATTCTGTGTATTGGTGATGGCAAGACTGATGAAGTTGTGTTCTCTCTTTTGAACGAAATTCCTCAAGCCATCACAAGTACAGTGGGAAAGAAGCAGACTGAAGCTCATCATTATATCCCTGATGTGGAACAAGTTAACAGTCTTGTAGAAGCTCTTGGTCAAATTTAAATTGTAATAAAGAAACAATGCATCTATTATTTTTATTTTTACTGTCATCTCTAGAAAAAGTTTAATCGACTATAAAAAAAACAAGTGTCAACTAGGAAACTCTGATATCGAACATTTTACCTTATGCCGTTTTTTCCTTTAAAGTTCTTATTTAAGAGTTGAATGACTTTATAGACACTCAGTTTTATGTATTCAAGGTCAAGCACAGCTTCTTGTTCTTTTTGCTATTAAACAGCACATGAGTCCAGAGCTACACAGATTAACCTTACCTTCTCTAAAAGATCGTCCAATTTCAAATCAAGCTCTAAAATTGGTTTATCTCTACCCTTATAATGCAAAGAGATAATAAATGTACCAGTAACAGGGCATTGTATCATCATGAAAATATTCCCTTTGTGTTGATCTGGTATATCTGTGGCTACAATCACACCATCTCTTTCCAATTGTTGATGAGAGAACTTAAATATACCACTTGGTTTCTTTCTAAGACCCACAGAAGGTTTCTTGAGATAATCATTGGAGTCTGTTGATGGCTCAGAAGAAGAAGTTGTAGACCAAAATCCAAAGCGTCTTTGTTGGCTTGGTTCTTTGACATCCATAGTGACATGCCCACTTTGTGCCCTTACATTGTCTAGATAAGTTCTATAGGTATCTAGTTGATTTTCAAGGTATCGATTGTGGTCTTTGATGGTCTTGTAGACTTGAACAAGAGATTCAATTTCACTCATCACACGGCCCTTGAGATCGCCTAAATGGGTCAACTCTTGCTTAATCTCTTGTACCAATAGTGCATAACGGTCTTGTTGAGTCACAACGCCAGCGTTTTCTAGTTCATGCAACAAGGCCTGTGCCTTCATACCCTTGATCAGTATCTGCGTGTCTTTGGCAGACTCTGTTGCTGCCATAATATGCTTCAGATCGAGATTCTTGATAGTATGAGGTAAAGAACGTACGATTTGTACAAAGATAGATTTGGTTTCCATGTACAAAATATCGCTTTGTGTAATGCTTTGTTCTGAAGAGCTGAGTACCGTGTCTTGTTGAGCCATCATTGAACTGGCTTCCCAACGACTTTCCAAAGGCAATTGAACTGGGCGATTGACATTGCGTGGTACTAAACTAGGCACAATAGGACCTAGGTCTTCTAAAATAATGCGAAGATGATGCAAGGGTTCGGGTGCAAGTCTATCGATGTATTTTTTTAACAGGACATGCGTATTATACATTTCATTGGGTGTAATGTTGATACTAATATCTTTACGAGACAAGGCCATGTATTGATCCATTTCCAAAGATTCATAAAAGTCACTGACTTCACACAAGTCATTCAAGAACTTGTTGATGCGTTGCTTATTGTCTTCCACAAATGCATTGGTAGGGATCATGTAGGTTTCTTTGGCATAAGAAGGTTTGTTAGCAAGATTTTGCAACATTTTAGCAATCTAGAGAGTCAACTATTACGTTATTATTATTATTATTATTATTCTTACGAGAGTCAAGGTAGTTCTAGTGTTTTGTTCAGGATGAGACTCAATTAACATGTAGGCATGAGGTGTAACAATAGCAGGATTCAAAAATCTTAGGAAAAAGAACCCACCAATCAAGGAGAAAATAGACTCGTCTGAAGCATTAGGATACTTGCGCTTCGTCAGTGATCTGATCTGTTTACATATCCAGCGAATACCATCCGGAATATCGTTTAGAGAATCAATAATCACTTGCAGGTACTCATTAGCGATCTCGATTAACTGTCTTAAACGTGGCTCTATCTTGGCCTGGACTTCTGAGTTTAAAGCAGCTATTTCGGGCGTAACGCTCTTGCAAAAATCAGGTGGGCAGGTACCTTTTTCTTCCATTTCAGCCACTAGTTCATCATATACCTATTTGGTTGGGTCTAAATCTCGTTCTATTCTACGTGCACTCAGCTTACCTTTAATGGGTTAATTTGAAGATTCAGATCTCGTTTTTGTTCAATAAGTTGATTAATTTTGAGAGACAAGACGGACTTAAGATATGCTTGTCCAGGACCTCGACGAGTGTAGGTAGTGAGCATACGAGAAGCAGGTGTATTGGCTCTCAAAAGTGAACCAAACTCTTCTGCTGCTTCAAATTGAGCAGCAAGAACATTCTGAAGAGAGAATTGCATAAATAAGCATTTTTATTATTATCTAACTTGCCTGAAACATGGTCAAAAGTAGATTTTCTTCTCGGCTTTCATATTGATTCCCATAAAGCGTAAACATGACAGTCTGTAATAACATGTCAATTTCAGACAAGCTTACAAGTCGGCATAGAGTTGCAATATAATGAGGCTCCGTTTGCAATAGAAAGAACAAGTTGCTATACAGTTTTAATTTACGACTATCAAGTGTATTGCTTGTGCTTCCATCGTCTTGTTCTTCTGACGCATTCATAATCATTTCATTTGACTAAGGAAATGTCAGCATAAATAAGCTTACTGTATGCAATTACATCATCCAGTGCCATTCTATTCTGAATTAATAAGGCAATTCGTGAATCCAAGACTCGAACATCTCTTTCTAGCAAGAAATTATTTTTTGACTCTTTAGAAATCTTGTTCTTCAATTCACGCAAACTTTTTTGAGCTGCATTTCTTATTGTCAGTTTTGAATATATGTAAAATGGTTGATACTTACCTTGTGCTAAATCATCTTCAATTTCATTATCTTCTTCAGCGGCCATTGAATAAAATAAAGACACTGAATACTGTCGAGACGTTCTTTCTTTTTGCGTAGATCTTCTTCTGATATTAGCAGCTGCAGCAGTCATTGCTCTGCTGACAATCCCGCCGTTTGCGATGCCAAACGAGACAGCATTATTTTGTGTATTCATACTATTTATAAAAAAATAAAAATAAAGGAGAAAAAGAGCTCGTTACAAGTAAGCTTGTTTATTGTATTTAGAACTCATAGACACGTTTTTTTTAATGTGTGTTCTGAATCATCCACCATAATAAAACCATGCTTTTAATATGAGTTAATTATATTAGCCAAAGCTACGCTTACCTGGTGCAAATAAGCCCATTTTGAATAACACATGCTATACCCTCATACCAAGTATTGTACATAATATACTTGATTATAGACAGTGTCTAGCAAAACAGGTAAGCCATTTTTCTATCGTTTAAATACTTGCGAATGAACTGATCAATCCACACAACAGCAATACAAATCCAAAAGATTTTTTTAAACTCATAAATCCAACAGTAGATAACACACCAGGAATCCATGTTGACCATGTCATTGAGTTGGATAAACAATAAGCATCAATAAAAACCCACCAACCTACAGAAAACTACTCAAACATAAGTTTTTTTTTTTCTTTTTCTTTTTTTGCCCAAGATATACACACACAACTGCACCCGCTGTAAATGAAGTAACTGCTCTACTTTTGTGAGGATGTAACTGAAAAGGGTTGGGTATAACTATCACACTTGTTCGAAGGTCTCCATCATACAAATGAGGCATGGTAAGATATAATAAACACGAAAGGAAAAAAAAAGGGGGACAATTGTACACAAACTTTTTTTGTCAGGTATAGAAACCCATACATTCACGCATCTGTTTATTTCGTGATCTACTAATTTATTGACGAGCGGCAATTTCCTTAGCGGCAAGAGCAGCACGTTTAGCCATCTTGGCATTGGACTTGGGACCCATGATACCACCACCCCAGTGACGACGTTCTTCCTCCCACTTGGCAGTGAAGTTGGTGTTGACAGCAGAGACAACAGTAGCCAATTCAGCCTTATCAGCTTCAGAGACTTCAGTCAAGGCAATGGCAGTAGCAGTCTTCTTGTGCACAAGAGTACCGAGACGAGCCTTACCCTTAACAATACAGTATGGGACACCCATCTTACGACAGAGAGCGGGCAACCAAAGGACCAATTCAATGGGGTCAACATCATCAGCAATGATGACCAATTGAGCCTTCTTGGCTTCAATCAAAGCGGTGATGTGGTTGATACCGTACTTGACAACAACAGGCTTGTCAGTCTTGGCAACTTCCTTCTTTTCAGCCTTAGCGGCAGCAGCAGCACGGAGACGATCACGCTTTTCAGCCTTGGATTCAGGTCTGTACTTGTGCAACAACTTGAAGACTTGAGTGGCAGTGTTCTTGTCCAAGACATGAGTGAATTGGTTCAAAGCAGGAGGGACCTTGAGACGTTGGTAGATGATCTTCTTTTGACGTTGAAGACGAACGTATTGGGGCCACTTGACGAAACGAGAAACATCACGCTTGGGTTGAATGTCTTGACCAATGCCAAAGTTCTTGGGAGTCTTTTCAATCAAGGGGTTGGCAGTAGCCTTGGTGGTTTGCTTACCCTTGACGGGGTAAGGAGCGGGAGCGACCTTCTTACCGGTGGACTTCTTGGCGGGGGCCTACATAAACAATTATCTATAAGTATTTTTGTTCATCCATCCATCCATCCATCCATCCATCCATCCATCCACTCTCCCATCCATCTGTCTATCCATCCATTCATGTGCCTATCGTATACATACCATGCTAACAATCGGATGCACGAAAAAAGAGAGGGATTTCTTGTATATGTGCCTAATTCATTTTACTATATGCATACGCATGAAGCGACAATGCAAGAATAAAGACCGAAGTACCTACTTATTTCAACCAATAAAAATGGCGACATGTGACTACTATTCTCGACACTTACCGAGAAGTGCTTCAAAGTGAAAAGGACTTGCATGATGGGCTATATTTCTTTTTTCCGTGGCTACAACATATTAAAGCCTCGACACCTTCATGCTGCTACACTTTGTGACCATATACTTCCAAATCTATGGATGATAATTAACATAATGCTTATACAACTTAGCTCTAATACTGTCACAAAAATCAAGCTAAGTCGACAGAAATTCAATTCGTCACACTCACCGACTCAACGGATCGAGTGTGTTTTAATAAGGCAATTTATCTAAAAAACAGCTTGTCAATACATTGCTTATTCATGCAACAGAGACACCAGGCAAACAAATGCTTCAACTACCAAAAAGACAACAATGTCCACACGTCTTTGCCTTTTTCTTAAGCAGATATAGTATAGAGCCTGTTTATACGCACATATATACTTTAGATATCTACAGATCATGTCTACTAATATATAGAGCACTTTTGTGAAATTTATTTTTTGATCGAGGGAGATCCACGAGAGCTCGTGAAGATGAAAAAAAAAAAAAAGTTCATGAAGAATTTTTTGGAATGACCCAATGTAAGCCTGATCCAACTGAAATAAAGTGAGACCGTCTCTAGGTACAAATAAAAAAAAAAAAAAAAAAAAAAAAAAAAAAAAAAAAAAAAAAAAAAAAAAAAAAAAAAAAACGAGCTTACTAAGACGAAAAAGGCGACTCAATTTGAGTATTGCCCTCAAATCTGCATTCAAGGTTCATTGTATACCGTAATTAGTCGAAAAAAAGTCCTTTTTAGTAGATATTCAGTACTGAGTAACTATTTAGCAGTACCTTGCTCAGTGTGTAGTATAAAACTACAAAGCTTTTCTTAGTACATCTCTTGGATGCATTTATATGCATTTGATGAGTAACTATATCTTCCATAAGCCTCAAGATAACTTTGTTAGCAAAATTACTTGTATGAATTTCAATTCGATATTTAGTCTTTTAATTTACGGCAATACCAACAAAGATCACTTATTTAAATACTTGCAACTACAGTCTCTCAAAGCCATTTCAGCTATTCATGACGTTGATGCTGACAATAACTGTGGTTTTCGTGCGGTAAATCTTGGAGTCTTTAATAACTAGACAAACTAGAAACAGGTGAAAGATGACATGCTTGCTACATACATGAAGTACAAAGACACTCTGTACAAAGCCATTGTCACTTCTGAAGCCTCTGCCAAATATGAAGAGCAAAAGACGATCAATAGATTTCAGTCTAAAGCATTTTCTTGTCTTAGTAGCTCTGAATTATGGTTCTCTACCTTCACCTGCCCACAAATTGTAGCCTATGTTTATGAAAAGCCTGTTCTTGTATACAGCTACATTGAAAATATGCTTAAAAAAGGTGAAAAGAGGATTCATTGCAAATCTCAAATTTACTTCCCTTTAATCATTATAAAGCTCGTCAACACTGATCACCCCATTACACTCCTTTGCGTCTTTCTTCACTTCTATTATATTGAATTCAGCCGAACCCCAAAGGAAAAAACTTCAGAAATTCAAAAATTCAACACTCCAATGCTCAATATGGATCATAAACGCCTGAGAGCCTCGTTTCCTAGCTCATACAGTTCAAATGACTACTCAATTATGTTCTAGTCTATATTTTCTTCTATGAAAATCTACGAAAACTATCAATAGACTATATCCAACTATGCTTCCTTAAAATTCGCTTAATTCATGCAAGCAAAAAATTAAATGTCAGAAGAAAAAACACTGGCGTTGCATTTTGACAGTTTTCAAATGCAACGCCATATTTTTGATTGTCGAAGCTCTTATGCCGTGTAAATAATCCGTGTACCATGAACTCACTTTTTTTTTTTGTTTTTTCTTCTGTGTTGAACATTTTCGGGGCGAAGGAATCTACTTGTTTTGCGCAAGTGCGGGTAGTAGTCTGCGGACGCCCTAAGTAGAAGTGATAGGACCAGAGGTTGCTATATATTTCGAGGTTGTTCGTTTGTATAGACTATCATGAGTAGCGTATGCCTGAGTTATCGTATGTAAAGCAAGACAGGAGGACCGTGCCTCCAAATGCTCTATTTTAAAGAATCATACCTCAAGTCATGGAAAAGTCATTAAAGTATACTTTTACTCGTGTCTACACTCAGTGTCGTTGAAAACAAGCTTTTATCTTTGTGTCTAGAAAATAAAAGAATATTTTATATACTTTATTGAAAAAAAATTCGTTATTAAAAATTCCTTTCTTGTGGCCATAAAGTAATAGAATCAGTAAAACAGACTATTGAGATAACTATAAGCATAATCAAACAGAATGTCAACTCATGACCAATACTTCAAGAAGATGCTTATAATAATGCTTTAGACCATTTCGTAGAGTTGGTCAAAACCTGTGACGAAGACGAAGAAGAAAGGAACGAAGGTTGATTACCCTTTACGCTTTGATTGCAATTCATCTTGATCACTTTGTTCTTGATTGTTTTGAAGATCGAGGCTGGAAAAACTTGAGCTGATACATGGTGCTGGAATATGCACTTCAACACTCGAAGACTCCAAGAAGACATGTGTAACATAGAAGTCTTAGAAAGTGCTAAAAAACATATTTTTAGGAGCCATAGACAAAAGATGTACTTTCCTCTAACAAAATGTGAAATATCAACCCACTTGAATTTCTGAGCCAAATTCTAAGCTAGCATGTAATTTGCATTGAAATTGCATCAACTTCATAAATGATACAAATCATCGAAAAAGTATAGAATATCCATATATTCAACCGAATGCATATTCAATCAAATTCATTGAATTTTTTAAATTGTAAAAGCTACATTGTCATTTGCATAATCTAATAAAATTAATGGTATGTTGTCTTGAAAGAAACACTAATCATCAATGCACATGTATACACTTAACTCAAAGTGTCTTTTCTTGTTACTATATGGCATTTAAATTATTTTATCGATTTTCAAATTTATTGAGATATATATGTATATCTACGAGATTGACAACCACAACATCGGATAGACTACAAAGATGAAAACCCAACATACAATTATATTTGAAGCTATAATATGTCTGAAATCAGCACAAGTCTACCTCAAGTACAAAGCTTTAGAACTGAAAGTTACTCAAGGCCTGCTACTCATCATCAGATGTCATTTAATAGCAAGGAATAGCAAGGAATAGCAAAATAATGGAGAAAAAATATATGTGTTTTGGATTTTCGAAACTGTTTTGCTCCTCAACGTAATGGACTTAAAAAAAGACAACTCTTTGTTGATAATATTTGTAAATTTTATGCAAATTTTATGCAAATTTTATGCAAATTTTATGCAAATTTTATGCAAATTTTATGCAAATTTTTGATAACATCTTTCGTTTTTAATTTTTTTAATTTAATCTGATTCTTTTAAAGTTAAAGGTACTACAACGTAAGCGATAGAAAAAAAATTTCATCAAAAGATGAAAAATTCTTCACTCATTGAAGGAAAGTTTTGACCAAATCTTCAGTCAAGTATGAAAGATTTCCTCCATTGATGGAAGAAGAACGCAATCGATCACGCTGTGGTGAGAGTATATTTTTTCAGCTTAAAAATAATTGCTTTCCAGAAATGTTTGTTTGTTGACATAAATAGCATACTTGCGTATTGATATTAGTTTTGTCAAATTCATGGAAAAAAAATTTTTTTTCTTTGAACACATGGTTCAATGTGGCCTTTAGCTGTTTGAACTCAAACAATCAATAAGAATGACTATACTAAGCCAAAGTTGCTTTAAGAAAACAAGAGCAAAAGAGGAATAGAGAGGAGAATGCTGATCTAATGTTGCGTCTGGGCGTGGTTTTGTAGCCAGAGAACAAATAGAAAGATTTAGTTGGACGTTGAAAGGAGTAGATTGTTTGCGATAGCACATTACATAAAGGTGATTTGGGATAAAAGAAAATCTCTAGAGGTCCATTTGGTACTCCAATAAAGTACAGAGCGGACATTCTTGAGCGTTTTTATGAACTTGGTCAAGAACACTTTTGCATTCTCTAAAGCTACCTTGAGCAGTGTCTAAGGACGATGTTTGGCCTTGTAGAAGTCCCTTGATGCATGTTTGACGGTTTTTCTGAGAGAATTAGCCAAACTAATTAGGCAGTAGTTGACTAGGTCAGTCGGGCTGCCCTTCTCATGAATTGGGACTACTTGTGTGACTCATCAACAATGAGGCGTGTATGGCCAACGCCAACATAGATCAAAGATATGGAAAGTCAGGAAGCCACTAAAATTTGTGATGTATATACAGAAAATAAAGCTAGAGCCATGAATAATTACGTTAATAGCCGTAGATGTTAAAAACCTCTCGTGAATGTAATGGATTTACAAAAAAAATAGATATATATGTTCAAACTCCATTAACATTTATGCCGACTTACAAGTATGCCATTTGTGTACATAGAAAAATATTTCTCAGAAAAAAAATAAAAACCACTGCTTTAAGATAAATCAAGAATATTTTTTGTGAAAAAAAAATAAAAAAAGAAAAAATTTTCTAATTTTCTGCTTGAAATCTAAAAAAAAAAAGCTTGTTTTTCAATTTTTCAGTTTTAAATAAATAAACGAGTCTACCAGATAATGATCTTACTGCTTTATTCTAGAAGATAGATTACTGGCTGGTAGACTCGTTTTTTATTTTTAAACAGAAAAATTAAAAAACAAGCTTTTTTTTAAAAAACTTTAAGCAGAGAAATAAGAAATTCCTTTCTTTTTTATTTTTTGTCATTGCAGAAAATATTCTTGATTTATTTTAAAGTAGTGGTTTTTATTATTTTTCAAAAAATATTTTTTTGAGTACGAAAATGGCATACTTGTAATTTCGGCATACCTGTTGGTATTTCTGTTATTTTTGAAATGCTTTTTTTTTTTGTAAGTCTATCATAATGATCATAAAGGCCTGAGGCACACAATTCTTCCCATAGTTTTTTTCATTGCTCTAGCTACTTTTTTTAGAGATATAAGTGCCTACATTGTGGTGTATGGTTGCAATGGTTGCTATGGTTGCTATGATGCTATGATTGCTATACTCTATTTGGCTTCGGGCTCACAAGTCAACTACACCCTTTTCTTGGACATATTTTAGCAGACTCTAATCAAGCAAGCGTCAGATGAAAATTTAATTTATAAAGCAACTGTCAGCCGTCGACGACGTCTTCACTTCCCAAATGACAACTTCAGTAATTTGAACTCGTTCTTAAATCCTTTTAATTATCAATTTTTTTACCAGATTTAACCTTACAGAATAAACACAATAGCCATAGACGCCATAGCAACCGCCATAACAACCACCATAGGGATCATAGTAGCCATACACAACAGTATAAGCGATTGCATTTTTCCATTAGTGAAATAAATCTTCCATATTTGAATAAAGATTTGGTCAAGATTTTTCATCTCCAAATGCATAATTCTTCCACTTTTGATGAAAAACTTTTTCTATCGCTTACGCTGTAGTAATATCTCTACAAAAAAAGTAGCTAGTGTGATAAACACTACAATTAAAAAGACAAAATAAAGTCAATCAGAACCGAAAACGGCCAAAAGAAAGTTGTTCTTTATTACACTCTGTTATTTCTCTCCATCTATATAAAATATAGCATCCCTTGAAGGAAATTAATATCTTTTCATGAATTCCATTGAATGCAATCGTTGGTGTCTTTACGGATGAGGGGCGCATAGATCCCCTACTGTTTAGTTTGTAGTGATAATCAATCTGATGGTAAATAAAGAGACTGCATAATTTGAAGTACAGATTCATGGTTCACTCCTGAATACTCCTGCAGCCCATTACGGTGCAAAGTCACTCTAAATCATAGTCATGTAGATAGCCGTGTATACAACAGCTAGAGCAATGAAAAAAACTATGGGAAGAATTGTGTGCCTCAGGCCTTTATGATCATTATGATAGACTTACAAAAAAAAAAAAGCATTTCAAAAATAACAGAAATACCAACAGGTATGCCGAAATTACAAGTATGCCATTTTCGTACTCAAAAAAATATTTTTTGAAAAATAATAAAAACCACTACTTTAAAATAAATCAAGAATATTTTCTGCAATGACAAAAAATAAAAAAGAAAGGAATTTCTTATTTCTCTGCTTAAAGTTTTTTAAAAAAAAGCTTGTTTTTTAATTTTTCTGTTTAAAAATAAAAAACGAGTCTACCAGCCAGTAATCTATCTTCTAGAATAAAGCAGTAAGATCATTATCTGGTAGACTCGTTTATTTATTTAAAACTGAAAAATTGAAAAACAAGCTTTTTTTTTTTAGATTTCAAGCAGAAAATTAGAAAATTTTTTCTTTTTTTATTTTTTTTTCACAAAAAATATTCTTGATTTATCTTAAAGCAGTGGTTTTTATTTTTTTTCTGAGAAATATTTTTCTATGTACACAAATGGCATACTTGTAAGTCGGCATAAATG